CTCTGCCACTGCCTCACCCCTCCTACATGCCTTCATTACATCCAGGCTCGACTATGCTTGTCGGCCTTCCCAAATCTTCCCTCCACAAGTCTGCAGATCAGCCAGAACTCTGCAGTTCGTGTCCTCTATCGCACCAGGCTCCGTCATCCCATCGCACCCACCCTCGACCGGCTCCACTGGCTCCCCATCCCTCAGAGGATCGAGCTCAAAATTCTCATCCTCACCTTCAAGGGGTTCCATGGCCTTGCCCCCTCCTACCTCTCTGAGCTGCTAACTAATCCCTTATCAACCTGTCCGTTCCCTCCACTCAGCAGGGTCCGGCCTGCTTGACCGGCTCCACCATCGGCCCCTCTGCCCTCACCCTCTGGAACTCCATCCCACAGTCCCTTCACCTCGCTCCCTCCCTCGCCTCCTTCAAGGCACGTCTCAAGACCCTCCTCTTCAACCACGCCTTCGGCCACCCTCCTACCCTCTCTGCCTTCTGCCCTCCCTAATCCCCAGCCCCCACCAGCTCGGGTCCTAATCCTGTTCAGCGCCTTGTGGTGTCCTCGCGACATGAAACGCGCTTCACAATTGCAATTTTGTATTGTGTATCAAAGGTAAGGATTGTTATTACTAACAAAATTATTGTTACTCCACGTTACAATAAATCCTGTGAAGCCCTTTGAGACATTTCCAATGTGATTAGGCGGTATATCAACAACAACAACAAAATTACATTTGTAAAGTGCCTTTCACGAGTCAGGGAGGGTGGAGGGCAGGCGGGGGTGGGGAGCAGGAATATTGAAAGCACGGTCAAAGAGGAGGGTCTTGAGACGGGTCTTGAAGGAGGCAAGGGAGGGGGAGAGGCGGAGGGACTGCGGGATGGAGTTCCAGAGGGTGGGGGCAGAGTGGCAGAAGGCCCACCCACCAATAGTGGGCCTAGCGAGGCGGGGGACGTGAAGCAGGCCGGATCGCTTCATGGGATAATATCTTTATGGGATAATATCAAATGCAAGGATTACTATTATGATCTAAAACTTGGGACGTCCTCCCGACGCGAAAGGCGCTCAATAAATGGAATCTTGTTGTTGTTGTTGATCTTGTTGTAAAACTCACTCGGATGCTCTGTGCGAAGAGGAGCTTGGGGGGGGGGGGGGGGGTGAAGAAAAGTGGGTGAAATATTACATTGAAAACCAGCCCCATTTATTACCCTAGATTGTGTCTTTTTTGTTAATTATTGATCAGTAGGCCTGAGTGTGTGAGATCCCTAACTGTCATTGCTGTTAATAATTAATAATCAATAATTAATGTGGCAAAGTAAGGCCCATTCATTTCTGTAATTATCACAATTTCATTCTCAGCATCATTCCTCATTCCTGCAATTATTCATTAATTGCAGATAAATTCTGTTTTTTCTTCTCTCCTCAGTGAAAACGAGCTTCATAGACTGAGTGGGCGGGAAGTGGATTCAGGTAATGATAATCCTTGCATTTGCTACGGTGACTTATTATGCTGTCGAACTTCCCAAAGCGCTTCACGGGATGCAGTGTAGAGTCTGTATTTTGTAGGCAAACCCAGCAGCCAATTTGCAAACAGCAACGTCCCACAGAACGGTCATGATGCGAATGTCCAATTTTATGTGGGGGAATTGTGGCCAAGAAAATGGGAGAAATTCCCTTCTCGTTTTTAGTCCCATGGGATCTCTAACATCTACTATATGAAAACAGAAGGGAGTTTTCTCCCGGTGTCATTGCCAACATGACACCAGGTGTACATTGGTCATTCGCTTCATGGCTGTTTGTGGGACATTGGTGCAAATTGGCTGCCTCGTTCACCTTCAAATATACAAATATACCCTCCACTTTGCAGGATGAGTATAGTTCAACATCCATCTGAACAGGCACAGATGGGACCTCAGTTTCATGTTTCATCCCAAAGACAGCACCTCCAACAATTCAGGACTCCCCCAACACTGCACGAGAGTGTCAGCCTTAGACCCTGACTTCAAAGACCCAATGTGGACCCAAACCCTGACTCTGACTGAGCCAGGCTGACAGACAGTGTTAATCCCTGCACAGTGTGTTTAGCTCTCTCAATGTCAGACACTGTGTTTACAATATAGATGTAATTTCTCGAATCTCTATGTAAATCATCTCTGCTCTTTCAGTACCACAAAGGTACATCTATATTCCTGACATTCGCACTGACAGTTCTGGCTTCTTAATACTGCATGTGTCATTATTATTAATAAGAGCAAGACAGAGGGTTTACAGAGACTGATTACAATCGTCAGCATTCTGGGAATGGTGTGACCAAAGGCACGGTTGAAAAGATAGGTCTTAAAGTGGGCTTCAAAGGTGGGGAGGGAAGGGGTGAGGCAGAGGGGCTCTGGGAAGGGGTTCCAGAGAGCAGAAATCTCTCCCACCGATGGTGGCAATTAACATTTACTGTCAAGCTTTTGAGATGTTTCAACGCAAAGAAGCAAGTTCTTTTCTTCACTGGACTTGTGCCTGCATTTTATTAGCTAGTGTTAGATTAGACGATCAGCCATGATTGAATGGTGGGGCCGAATGGCCTACTCCTGCTCCTACATGTTATGTTATGTTATTTTTCCCTCCCCCCCAAAAATGTGGTCTCTCAATCCACGACTGTTTGTGGGACACTGCTATGTGCAATTGGCTGCCACATTTTGCCCACAAAATACACAGTCACTACACGTTATACACAACCTATTCTGTGAAGTGCTTTGAGGCATCTGAAACCATGCAAAGACGTTATATCAAATGCAAGGATTATTATCATTTACACAAAAAAGCACACAAAATGTGTATTTTAATTTTATTTTTCTTAGCTCGTCCTGTTTTCACCACTCAGATAACCGAAGACGTGGTCGAAAAGGAAAAACTTAAGATGGTCCTTGATGGAGGCAAGGCGGGGGGGGGGGGCAGGCAGACGGGCTCCGGGATGGAATTCCAGAGGGTGGGGGCAAAAAGGCTGAAGGCCCGATCACCACATAGTGGAGCAGCTAGGCTGGGGCGTGTGGAGCTGGCTGGAGCCTGTAGAGTAGGGCAGGGTATGTGAGTGTGTGTAGGGAAGGGTGTGTGTAGGGGAGGGGTGCCAATTAGGGTTAGGGTAGTTAGGGTTTGGGGTTATGGTTTCGGATTACGGTTAGGGTTAGGGGTTGGGGAAAACGGGATTGGTTTAGGGATTGGGGTTAGCTTTAAGCCAATTAGGGTTGGGGTTTAGGCTTAGAGTAATTAGGGTTGGGTTTAGGGGTTAGGATTTAGGGTTAGGTTTGGGGTTTAGGATTAGGGTTGTGGTTTAGGGTTAGGCCAATTAGGGTTAGGGTAGTTAGGGTTTGGGGTTATGGTTTCGGATTACGGTTAGGGTTAGGGGTTGGGGATAACGGGTTTAGTTTGGGGATTGGGGTTAGCTTTAAGCCAATTAGGGTTGGGGTTGAGGTTGGGGTTTAGGCTTAGGGTAATTAGGGTTGGGTTTAGGGGTTAGGATGTAGGGTTAGGTTTGGGGTTTAGGATTAGGGTTGTGGTTTAGGGTTAGGCCAATTACGGTTAGGGTGAGGGGTTAGAATTTGGGACAGTGCGTCCCAGCCCCCCCATTGCAGCCTCCCCATCGCAGACACTCATCCCAGACTCACGTGCAATCACCGAGTGGTCCGCGCGTCAGGTGGTGGAAACTGTCAGAAAGAGGGAGAGGACAGCCCCGATCATGCGTTGACCGGCAACCTCGTTTGGCGGAACCCCTCATCGCCAGTCCTGTCCAACAACCACCTGGTCGGCCATGAGAAGACCTTCCCCTCCCCTCCCCATTAGGGCTTTCACGCACAGTCGAGGCCTTGTCCAGTCAGCGCTGCCCTCAAGCCGGCTGCAGAAGCACGGAGACCATAGACCAACTCCTCCTGGAGTGTTGGTACACGAAGGCGGTTTGGAAACAGGTAGAATGGCTTCTCTTGCGGTTTATCCCTGGGGACCGGCTGTCACTGCACTCAATGCCGTACGTCCTCTTCCCGGGGACTCCCAACCACACCCACAGCTTCAGTGAGGCCCACAGTGAGTGGCCTGGAGGATCATCAATCGTGAAAGAGGCCCTTTGGCTCCCGAAACCTGATGGCTTCCAGCGGGACGAGGTTTCGGAGTCGGCCTGCCTCAGGCTCGCCCACGCTAGGACCGGGGGCTCGGTGCTGAGGGGCACGCTGAAGCTCGTCCCAGCCGCGGCAAAGTCCAGATGGTGCCTGATCCCAGCCGGAGCCGCTCCTGGGCTCACCACACTCACATCGGCCTCGCATCCCCACCCACTAGGGTCCCTACCAGGGGCGAGGGTGGCATCAGGGCACGCTCAGCGGGTAACACACCAGCGTGTGTAACCGCGTAAACATGTGTAACCACGTAACGTACAGAGGAACGCTCGCTGTGTAACCGAAGAAGGTCCCGAAAATGTATGTATGTCTGGCTGTGTCCCCCCCCCATAAATGGGGGAGCGGCAGGGAGGGAGTTAATCCCTGATCTAGCGGGGTGTGCGCGGGGTGGGGGGCATGGGGGGCACCTGTACATAGTGCACACGGGTGTTTCCCCCATTGTGTTTCAAGGGAGCGTCCCCCCAAAAAATGTGCGCTGTGTGTGTTGTTAACCTGCCCGCATTCCCCATAAAAGGGGGGCGAGCGCGGGTGGGGGGGAAAGGGTGGAGGAAAGGAATAGGGAGGGGTCTACCTTGTAACTGTCCTCTTAACAGGATATTAATGAGTTGCCTTTCCGCGTACTGTCACGGGAATCGTTTCTTTATTGAGATGAGCGTAGACATATTCTATCTGCCAATAAATATACATTTTGGGTTGTGTGTGTGTGGGAGGGGGGTTGGGCAGTGTGTGTGGGAGGGGGACAGTGTGTGTGTGGGCAGTGTTTGTGCTCGGGGGTGGGGGGCGGCAGTGTGCGTGTGTGTGTGTGTCGGTGTGTGTGTAAGTGTTTGTGTGTGTGTGTGTTGAGTGGCTTCAGTGTTTGTGGGAGTGGGGGGCAGTGTGTGCGTGTGTGTGCGTGTGTGTGTTAGGGTGGGTTCAGTGTGCGCGGATGTTGTTGTGGGGGGTGGGGGGCTGCGGGCAGTGTTTGGTTGAGGGGAGCGTTAGCTCCTATACACTGCATCGTTCTCGTTGTCACTGGACTCTGAGATGAACTCCTGGAAGGGCATACAGGCAAAGCAGTAGCGCCTGAGGTCATCCCAGCACGAGGGGCAGTAGATAGCTCCGCATTGTGGGGTGGGGCAGTGGTAGGAGGCAGGCGTCTCGCTCTCCTGACACACCAGGCAATGGCGGCGCAGACACCCCCTGAGCCACGGCAAGTGCCGATGGAGGAAGCCAGCCAGGCCTCGCAGCTTCTGCTCATAGGAAGATATAATCAATAATCAATAATCGTTAACGGGCAAATAGAAAGATAATCAATAATTATTAACAGCAAATTGAACCATAATCGATAACCACAGCCCTACACACACACTGACCCACCCACTCACACATAATCAATACTCATTAACTGTAACTACATATATAATCAATAAGCATTAGCGACCAATAGACACATAATCAATAAACATTCATGGTATTTCCATACAAAAAAAATAGTACGGTTGCTCAATCCACAACTGTATATTTGTTGAATTATAAGTGAATTGACTGTATATTTTGTGGGTGAAACGCGGCAGCCAATTGCACGCAGCAGTGTCCCGCAAACAGCCGTGGATTGAGTGACCAAATCCTTAGCATTATATACTTATTTATTTGGAGAGTATTACCCCCGGAAAGCAATCCGCCAATCAACTGACAACCGCGTTCCTACACGTTGCGAGGTAAACAGAGGCGTGTGGAGTAAGGAAACTTGCCTAAGGTTTCGCCCTGCCCGGTGAATCGAACCCAGGTCCTCTCGCTTGCGAGGCGAGTGCTCTAACCCCACACATTGACTTACCCAAAGCTCACGTCTCCTGGCTCTAATTATGACTCTCTTTCGCTGGATTTCAGCATAAGCCATTCGCTTTCGTAGGAACTCATTATACAGGAAAAGCACTCTCTGTTTCTCTCTCTGAAAGACATGGGGGAGGGAAGGGGTTCAGTACATTAGCCCCCATCTGCCCCCACCCCCCACCCTCCCACCCCCACACACACGCGCAACTATCCAGCACACCCAGCCAAAGAGAAGGTGCGAAACGAAGAGGGTGAGACTGATGGAGAGAGGGCGCGATGGAGTGGTAGAGACTGAGAGGGCGTGACAGAGGGGGAAATACTGATAGAGAGAAAGAGAGCGAGAGAGATGGAGGGGGAGAGACTGATACAGTGAGTGAGAGCGCGAGAGAGAGATTGTGGGAGAGAAACTGGTAATAATAATCCTTGCATTTGATATATCGCCTCATTACGTCTTCGAGACGTCTTAAAGTGCTTCACGGGATATATCGTAAAATGTATTAACTGTATATTTTGCGGGCGAAACACGACAGCCAATGGCGCACAGCAGTGTCCCACAAACAGTCGTGGATTGACTGACCAGATTATTATTATTCGATTTTTGAAGGGATTATTACGCCCGGAAAGCGATCTGCCAATCGACTAATAAGCAGGTTCCGACTTACCGCTTGGTAAACAGAGGCGTGTGGAGTAAGGAAACTCCCGCCCGGGAGTTGAACCCAGGTGCTCTCCCTTGCGAGTACTCTAACCGCTGCACTATCGGACTCTCTGATAGAGAGAGGGTGAGAAGGAGAGGGAGAGACTGACAGAGAAAGGGCACGATGGAGTGGTAGAGAGAGGGTGAAATGCAGAGGCAAACACAGGCTGATACACATACCTTAGGAAAGTAGAAAGCTGCTATGACCCTGCGAGTCCTGAAGACATAGATTTGAAGGAAGCAAAATAATATGACGGCGATGAGGGGGATGATGGTTGCGGCAATGGTGAAATTCAGCATCTTCTCCGGGACAGGAAGACAGCCTGAGAGGAGATGGCATCATCATCATCTTCATCATCTTCATCACCATACTAATAATGTGGTGGAGTCCTGTAGCGTGGTGGTTAAGAGCACTCGCCTCGCAAGAAAACACGCCTAATGTTTTGCCCCGTCCGGGAATCAAACCCATTTGATATAGCGCCTTATCACATGTTTCAAAGAGCTTCACGGAACATATTGAAAAAGTGGAGTGACTGTGTATATTGTGGGCATAACACGGCAGCCAGTTGCTTATATATATATATATATACACTGAAGCAACTTATAGCATATCCTGTAAAGCGCTTTGAGACGTCTCAACATGTGATAATAATAACAATAATAACAATAATCCTTCCATTTGATACAGCGCCTTATCACATCGTTGAGACATCTCAAAGTCCTTTACAGAATATACTGTAGAGTGTGGCGACTGTGTATTTTGTGGGTGATTATAACGAGCCTCTGACTTACGCAGGTTGTTTGACTCCATCTGAATGTCAAGTGTGGTGTTAAAGGCAGAGACGGCTTTTCGGATCAGATTAGCCAGTAATGAGGTGCCTTCCACTGTGATCTCCAAGTGATGGCTCTCTGCAGGTGAACAGACAGAACAGACCGAGAGAGAGAGAGAGAGAGAGCCTCCTGTTATTATTAATAATAATAATCCTTACATTTGATAAAGCGCCTTATCACGTCGTCGCAACGTCTCAAAGCCCTTCAAAGAATATACTGTAAAGTGCAGTGACTCTGTGTTTTTTGGGCGAATGGGGTTATTGATCATCAATTGACTACAGTCCAGGGTTATTGATCACTGATTGACTGGAGTCCTGTAGTTTAGTGGTTAGAGTGCTCGGCTCACAAGCAAGAGGACTCTGGTTCGAATCCCGGGCAGGGCGAAACCTTAGGCAAGTTTCCTTACTCCCCACACCCACCTCTGTTTATTAGCAGTAAGTAGGAACCTGGTTGTTAGGCGATTGGTAGATTGCTTTCAGAGTGTAATAATCCCTCCAAAAATTGGTCGCTCAATCTACGATTGTTTATGGGAAACTGCTGTGTGCAATTGGCTGCGCGTTTCGCCCACAAAATTTACAGTCAATGCACTCTACAGTATATTCTGTGAAGCGCTTTGAGACGTCTCATCGACGTGATATGGCGCTATATCAAATGCAAGGATTATTATTATTGTTAACATCAAATATAAATATGATCAACAATCATCATTAGTAATTCTAAACACAATAAATAATAATCAATAGTCATATAATAATAATCCTTGCTTTGATGCAGTGCCTTATAAAGCATAGTCAAGAATTCTCAAAGAGTTTCACAAAATATACTGTATAAAGCGTAGCGATTGTGCATTTTGTGGGTGAAACGCGGCAGCCAATTGTCAACTGGATCAATAAGTCGTGGGTTATTAAGTAACGTGAGAAATTCTAGGCGAAAAAAAGCCCAAGGTCCATCTAGTTCGCCTTCCACCTTCCTGGCAGGCACATGCACATATATCCCGAACTACCTATGTGCTATATCCCATAATGTTATTTCCTAAAAGAAAACTATCTAATCTGTGTTTGAAAGAATCAACAGTTCCTGCTTCAGCCGTCTCCCCAGAGGGAGCCTGTTCCACAGGTTCACTATTCTCTCAATGAGATAGTGTTTCCGAAGATTTGTTCTGAATTTATCCCTTCAGAGGCTGTGTCCTCTGGTTTTACTATTCTGGACAAGTTGAAACAGTCTGTCATGATCTATGTTGCTTTGCCCCTTCAGAACCTTAAAGACAGCAATCATATCGCCTCTCAACCTTCTCTTTTCCAGCGTGAACATGCCCGAGTTACTTAGTCTCTCCTCATGTGTGCAGTAAGGATTGTTGCCTAAAGTTTTGCCCCGTCTGGGAATCAAAGTCAGGTCCTCTCACTTGTGAGTGAGCACTAAACCACTACAACACAGCATGTCACTTGTTGATCACAGAGCGGTTGCAGTCCTGGAATATTGATTACTGATTGACTGCAGTCCGGGTCTGGGATATTTATTGTCGAGTCACTTACCCCCAAAGTTATACTCGATGTAACTGTGTCTCTGGATGATGTCTAACATGGTGTAGAGCAGCCAGTCTAACACAAACAGCACAATAACTAGAATAATCTGTGGGACACACTGCAGCAAACCCAGAACCTGCAAGATGGCGAAATGTCAATTATTATCATCATCGCAAGGTGAGGGAGACAGAGACAGAGAATAACAATACATCGATTTCATAGAATCATAGAATTATACAGCACAGAAAGAGGCCATTCGGACAATTGTGTCGCCTCATCTCTTCTCTTAACCTTCTCTGTTCCAAGGAGAATAACCCTCGCTTCTCTCGCCTTTCCTGATAACTGAAGTCCACCATTCCTGGTACCATTCTGGTAAATCTCCTTTGCACCCTCTCCAATGCCTTGACATCTTTCCTAAAGTGTGGGGCCCAGAACTGAACAAAGTCTCTCGTTGAGGCCTAACCAGTGTTTTACATAAAGGTTCATCATAACTTCCTGACTTTTGTATTCTATGCCCCTATTTATAAAGCCGAGTATCCCGTAGGCTTTTTTAACAGCTTTATCTGCCTGTCCTGCTTTCACCACCTTTCAGGCAGTGCGTTCTTATAGAGAATTATGTTCTTTAGAAAATAATATCTGGGGATACTGTATATAGTTTGGGGACACAACATGTCAAGCGACTGCCAGGATGGTGGAAGGTGAAGTGGATGGACCGTGGTCTTCTTTCGGTAATAATTATTATTATAATAATAATATTATTATTCCCGAAATTCTGGAATAATTATTATTATTACCCCCGGAATGCAATCTGACAATTGACTAACAGGAGGGTTAGGCAAACAGAGGCGTGTGGAGTAAGGAAACTTGCTGAACATTTCGCCCTGCTCGGGAATCGAACCCAGGTCCAGGTTGTTGTTGTAAAAACGCAGAGCTGAGAGCGCTATCAACTGGGAGTCGCTCACTCACCAAACTCCTCATCTCCGCACTGTGGACCTTTCGTTGCCAGGGAAAGATGACGTTGGGGCGTTCAGCTTTCTTGAATGGGAGGAGGTGCTTCCTGTTCTGGAACACAAGACCATAAGAATTACTATACAACAACGACAACTTGGGCTGACACACACTGAACCAGCCTCACGCACACTGAGCCGGGCTGACACACACTGAGGGGTGGGGAGGGTTGGTGGTGGGAAGGGGGGTGGGGGGAAGGCTCAGAGTCAGGTTCCGCCACTGTTAAGTGCTCTGAGACGCTGCCCTGTTTGGAGGGCGCTATAATAAGTGCAAGTGTCGCTGTTTGTGGATCGTGGAGCTCACCATTGCTTTTCGCCGAGAGTCAATCTGCCGAAAGTATTTACTAATATAAACGTTGTCAAAGCGGATGTCATTGTTGTAATTTCTCGTGTAGAGAAAAGCACTGAAAGCGAAAGAGAATAAGTGAGTTACAACAACAACAACAACAACAACAGCAACAACAACAACAAGATTCCATTTATAAAGCGCCTTTCACGTCAGGAGGACGTCCCAAGGCGCTGCACAGTTGGGTCATGACCCGAGCAGGGGGGAAATGGTCAGGGTGAGGGGAGGGAAGGAGGGAGAGAGGAGGGGGAAATGGTCAGGGTGAGGGGAGGGAAGGGAGGGAACAAGGAAGGGGGAAATGGTCAGGGTGAGGGGAGGGAAGGGAGGGAGCGAGGAGGGGGAAGAGAGTCGAGAGGGGAGCTGAAGGCTCGGTCAAAGAGAAAGGTTTTGAGACCGGCCTTGAAGGAGGAAAGGGAGGAAGCGGCGAAGGCACTGGGGGATGGAGTTCCAGAGCCTCGGGGCTGAGAGGCTGAAGGCCCGACCACCGATGGTAGGGCGGTTGGGGCGGGGGACGTGGAGCAGACCGGAGCCAGAGGAACGGAGGGTACGGGCAGGTAGGTAGGGGATAGTAGGTTGGAGAGGTAGGAGGGAGCGAGGCCGTGAATGGCCTTGTAGGTGAGGATGAGGATCTTGAAATCAATCCTCTGGGGGATGGGGAGCCAGTGGAGGCGAGCGAGGGTGGGAGTGATGTGAAAAGTTAGAGACGCAGCAAAGCTCCTCTTCGCTGTCCATCCACACTCTCTCTGGAAATTTCCATGTGTAGTTGGGATGAATGGAATTCTCGGTTTGGTTCGGTTGGGATACTCTAAAGCCCGGTGGTGGGTTTCCACGTGTGTCAGAGCAAAACAACGAGAGATAAATCGGGGGAAACTCACGAGATGAATAAAATGGCGAAGGTGCAGGAGAGGATTAAGGTGATGATATCGACGATGGAGTTCAGCAAATCTTTCTTCTTAATCAGCTCCTTTCGTAGTGTCTCCGTGACCTGCGCTTTGCTGAAGTTGGCTCCTACAATAGACTCCTGTTGCACCATACTCTGCACAGACGCAACAACATCACACTGCTGTTGCATCCCAGTTGACCGATGGCGTCTCTTGCCTCTTAAGCATCCCAGAGAGCTTGTCAAGAGACCAGAGAGGTCAACAACAACAACAACAACAACAACAACCACTCATCATCACAATAATTCTTGCATTTCGTACAGCAATATTTAAGTTTAATTCAAGAGTGCCCAACAATTTACAATGATAATTCCTGTGCGTATTCATATTAATAATATTTAAAACAATAATAACAACAGCACACAACAACTCATCATAACAATAATTGTGCATTTGGTACATCAATTTTTAATGTTTAATACTGAATGTTGCTGTGTACTTTGAGGGTGAAACGCGGCAATTTGCAATTAGCCAATTTGCGAACGGCAATGTCCACACACGAACAGCCATGGAGTGAATGGCCAAATGTATTTGGCGGATTGCCGACGGATAAAACCGCTCGCTTGCTTCGCGACTGTTTGCAAGGACGTCGCTGTGCGCAGTTCAGCTGCACGCAAAACACACAGTCACTACACTTACAGTGAATCCTGGTAAGCGCTTTGAGATGCCTCAGCGACATGATAAGCTCCCGGATCAAATTCACAGATCGCAATAATAATAACAGCAGCAATAATCCTTGCATCTGACCCGGTGCCTTTCACATCGTGTGGGCACCTCAATGACGCTCCCAGGATCGACTGTGAAGTGTAGTGACTGTGCGATCTGGAGATGAAGTTTGTTACGCTAACTTCCTGCTTGTCCGCCTTTCCAACTGATCCCTCCACAAGCTGCACATTATTCACAACTCTGCAGGTCATGTCCGCTCCCGCACCATCTCCGTGACCCTTTCAACCTCACCCTCGCCTGGCTCCACTGGCTCCCCATCCGCCACCCTCTGGGACTCCATCCCACAGCCCCTTTGCCTCGCCCCCTCCCTCGCCTCCTTCAGGCCTGTCTCAACACCTTCCTTTTCAAAACTGACCTGTTGATCTCGGTTACATCGGGGTATCAAGGGATATGGGGCAAAAGCAGGTAATTGGAGTTGAGGTACAGATCAGCCGTGATCTAACAGAATGATGGAACAGGCAGGAGGGGCTGAATGGCCTCCTCTTGTTCTTATGTTATTATGACTGTATCTTCGTGCCCCCTCCTATCCCCCACACTCCCTGCCCTCCGCCCCTCCTGATCCCAACCCCCAGCTCGGATCCAAATCCCTGAATGTCCCTCGCTGTGTAAATGTCATTATGTTGTTGCTGTTGTTGTTGTTGTTGTGTGTTGGGTGCTGTTGGGATAAGGAGAGGGAGGGAGGGAGGGAGGGAGGGAGGTTGGGAGGAGAAGGAGAGATGCCCCATTCACTACTCACAGTGATGGCCATTTCTGCCTTGAAATTGTTGTTGAGATTGCTGACGGAGCTGTTCACTTTGTCGTACAGCTGACCAAAGTTTCCATCCACTGGGATTCGATCCCTGCACCAGGGTGTCATCACTGTAATAATAATACCAGTAATAATATAATAATAATCACCATAATTAGAAACATTATTAATAACAATATTCACTGTAATAATATGTATAATAATCAGCACTGTAATAATAATCCTAATTATAATAAGTAATAATAATCCTTGCTTTTGATAGAGCGCCTTATCACATCATTGAGCTGCTTGAAGCGCATCACAGAATATACTGTAAAGTTAATTGATTGTATATATTTTCTGGGCAAAACGTGGCAGCCAATTGCGCACAGGATTGTCCCACAAACAGTCGTGGATTGCGTGACCAAATTATTATTATTATTATTATTCGCGGTAACAGGTTTCCAGGTGTATGTGTGTCAGACACCCGGATAATCACAGTGACGGATTTCCACGTGGACCAGACACCCGGCTGACCAACAAAAGAAATACTTACACTTCACGATGTTACACAGGAATTTAAACGTCATTGGAAGACAGAAAAGATGATTGAAGAGAGGAATGACAAGTTTCCTCATACACGCTACGTATTTAATGTCAAACCACTTTCGACATCGCTGGATTCCCAAATCAACAATAACTGAGGAAAGGAAATAATAATTATTATAAGAATATTCCTTGCATTTGATACAGCGCATTATCACATCATCAAGACGTCTCAAAGCGCTTCACCGAATATACTGTAAAGTGTAGTGACTGTGCATTTTGTGGGCAAAACACGGCAGCCAATTGCACACACCAATGTCCCACAAACAGTAGTAGATTGAGTGTCCAAATTATTATTATTTTTATTATTAGCCCCTGAAAGTGATCCGCCAATCGACAAACAACCAGGTTCCGGGAATCGAACCCTGGTCCTCTGGGGTGCGAGGCGAGCGCACTAACCGGTATGTTATGGGAGAGAGGAGAGACACTCACAGTCACATCGCATCTTGGTTTTAAGTTCGAACAAGCTCTGTGTGCTGAGGTGTCTGCCATTGCCCACAGATCCGCTATTTTCCTTGAATCCCTCCTTGGATATGATCTGATCGTTCACTGCATGGAATTTCTTCTGCACATCGTCGGTTTCTTTTCCAAACATGTCGCTGTTTTTCTGCAGGAAAGAAAGGTAAAAAGCCATTCCATTGGAGTTTCCCGTAGCCTACCGGTTAGCGCGCTCGCCTCGCAAGCGAGAGGACCCGGGTTCGATTCCCGGGTGGGGCGAAACCTTAGGCAATTTTACTTACTCCACACTCCTCTGTTTATCCAGGAGTAAGTCGGAACCTGGTTCTTAGTCGATTGGCAGATCGCTTTCCGGGGGTAATTGTTCCTCCAAAATAATGATAATCTGGTCACTCAATAATAATACTAATAATGATAATTTTTCTATTTGACACAACGCCTTTAGTCTTTGAGACGTCTCAAAGCGCTTCACAGAGATTTTGTGGAAGAAGTGCAGTAGGCCAATTGCGCACAGCAGTGTCCCACAAACAGTCGTGGACTGGGTGACCAAATTTGTTATTAGTATTATTTTTAATTTCGTTTGAGAGTTTGGAGAAAGGAGACTTGCCTAAGGTTTAGCCCTGCTCAGGAATTGAAACCCGGTCCTCTCGCCTCCGAGTTGAGTGCTCTAACCACTACACTACACCACGGCTGTTTGTGGGACACTGTTGGGCCAATTGGTTGCTGCATTTTGCCAACAAATATACAATCAATCCACTTTTCAGTGTATTCTGTGAAGCGCGTTGAGACATAATAAGGCGCTATATCAAATGCAAGGATTATTATTGTCGTGCAAGACTTTACACCCATACTTTGGGGAGAGGGGTTGGGTGTGTTGCCTCTTGCTTGTCCTCGTGCCCTCTGTTCCACCATCGGTGTCTGTGCTTTTAGCCTCTACGCCCCCGAGACTCTGGAACTCTCCTCCTCTCTTCCTCCGCCTTTCCCCTTCCTTCCACATCTTCTGGTCGGATCCGAAGACCTTCTTCTTCGACCTTCACCTTCCCCCCCCACTCCCCGGCTTGAGGTCAGGCTCCGCCCCACTGTCAAGCGCTCTGGGATGTTACCCAGTGTGAGGGGCCGCGGTGTAAATGCAAGTTGTTGTTGTTGTTGTCATCAGTGAGAGTGGGAAGCAGCGAGACGAGGCGAGGGGAGTGGAGGTGGGGAGAGAGTGAGAGAGAGGGAGCACAGATTTTATCTCTCCGTTCTCACCTTCATGTCTTTGAGGACTTTCTTGAGAGGTTCCTGCATGATTTTCCACAATTTCTTGGTGTGGTTAATCTGTAGTTCCACCGTGCAAGCCACAGAGTTACCCACAATCTCAACGTTCTTCTCAATGTTAGCCACCGGACCTGGGGACAATAAACAACAATAATAATAATGACCCTTGCATTTGATGTAGTGACTTATCACGTCTTTGAAACATCTCAAAGCACTTCACAGAATTTACTGTAAAGTGAATTGATTGTGTAATTTGTGGGGGGTGGGGGGGGAGGATTATTACCCCTAGAAAACAAGCTGCCAATCGACTAATAACTGGGTTCCTACTCACTGATAGGTAAACAGAGAGGTGTGGAGCGAGGAAACTTGCCGAACGTTTCACCTTGCCCGGGAATCGAACCCGGGTCTCTCACTTGCCAGGCGAGCGCTTATCAAAAGAACCAGAAGGGAGAAGAGGGAAAACGTTTTGAATCCAGCGAGTTGTGGGAGCCCTGTAGGGTAGTGGTCACCGCGCTCGTCTCACAAGCGAGAGGACCTGAGACGTATCAATGTCGTGATAATGCCGAATGCAAGGAAGCAGATTCGATTGTAGCTTTCAAAAGCGAATTGGCTATTTACTTCGAATCATAGAATTTTACAACACCAATGAGGCCATATCCAGCTACGACCACCCGACCCATTCGTGCTTTGGCTTCCAGGCATAACGGGAGCTGAGTGGGAGGATTCCCTGCCCGAGTGACTGGTCTGCCCTTCCAAGTCTTGGTAGAGTGAGAGGGGAAGGGAGGCGAGGGGATTGGAGGTTAAGGAGAGAGAGAGAGAGAGAGAGAGAGAGAGCGAAGTAGGGAAGCCAGGAAATTGGAGATGGGGAGAGAGTGAGAGAGAGAGAGAGAGAGAGAGAGAGGGGGGAATAGAGGATGGGGAGAGAGAGGGAACGAGGCGAGGTGGAGAGAGAGGGAGACTTACCGTGCATGACGATGGTCACCAATAACATCAGGACGAACGTCCGCCCCTCGGAGCCCAGCATGTTGGGAAGGATCATCAGGATCGCACAGCGATAGCTCACGGACACGGCCCAGCCCAGCCCCATCACACCTGAGACACACACAACACAACATCCTATCACCCCCCATCCTCGCTCGGCTCCACTGGCTCCCCATCCCCCCAGAGGATAGAATTCAAAATCTTTAACATCAAGATTTTTACAGTCAATTCACTTTACAGTCTATCCTGTGAAGCTTTGAGACGTCTCGAGGACATGATAAGGCGCTGTATCAAATACAAGGATTATTATTATTATTATGGATCGATTTCAAGATCCTCTCACCAGTCTACAAATCCTTTCCTGCCCCTGGCACCTCCCCTACCTCTCCGATACTTCTCACAACTCACTACCTGCTCTCTCCGCCCGGCTGGCTCCGGCCTCCTGCTTATCCCTCGTCCCCTCCGCTCCACCAATGCCGGCTGCACTTTCAGCCACTGCTCCCCGAAACTCTGTCACTCTCTCCCTCCATCCCTCCACCTCGCCCTCTCCTTCCCCTCTTTCAGATCACGCCTGGCGAACCTCCTCTTCGTGCTTAAGGTCACCTCCCCGCTCCCTCCGGCTCGGGAGTCAGGCTCCGTCACTGTTAAGCTCTACGAGAGGCTGCACTGTGTGGAGGGCTCTGTGTAAATGCGAGTTGTTGTTGTTGTTACTTACAAACCATGGCGCAAAGTATGTAAAACTTGTGTTCTTCAAATAGATCCAATTTATCCACCAAAACAAAGTAGAAACCTAGGACAGGATACATCGACAATCAATAATCTATCACCGATCTCGGATCGATTTCGTGTATGTCGGGGTTAACACACTCGCCTCGCAAGCGAGAGGACCCGGGTTTGATTCCCGGACACGAGCGAAACCTTAGGCAAGTTTCCTTACTCCGCAACCCTCTGTTTACCCAGCAATAAGTAGTCGATTGGCGGATCACTTTCCTGGGGTAATAATTCCTTAAAAAGAAACTAATAATAATAATGTGGTCACTCAATCCACGGCTGTTTGTGGGACACTGCCCTGGGCAATTGGCTGTCGAGTTTCACCCACAAAATATTCCCACAAAATGATAAGGCGCTGTATCAAGTGCAAGGATTATTATTATTATTGGTGTAAGAGTGTAATGACTCTGTACTTTTTGGGCGAAACGCGGCAGCCAACTGCGCACAGCAGTGTCCCACAGACAACCGTGGATTGCGTGACCAAATATTTATTAAAGCACTTATTTCCCCCAGAAAGCAATCCACCAATCAACTAACAACCGAGTTCCTATTTCCTGCTGGGTAAACAGAGGTGTGTGGAGTAAGGAAACTTGGCTAAGGCTTCACCCCACCCGGGAATCGAACCCGAGTCCTCTCGCTTGCGAGACGAGCGCGCTAACCACACTATTAGCATTGTGCTGGTTGTTTGGCGATTTTGTGCACGGACTCACCAACGGCTAACATGGCTCCCAACCCGAAGCCCATGAAGAACTTGGTGACACGGAACTCCTCAGGTTTGCTCCACAGGAAAGTGGTGACCAGCGACGGACACATGTGGCTGACAATCATCTTCAAAGCTTTACAACGACAACAAATTACATTTACACAGAGCCTTTCAACAACAACAACTTGTCCAGCAGCGTAGCCTCACAAGCGAGAGGACCCCAGTTCAATTCCCGGGCAGGAAAGACTTCCGGCAAGTTTCCTTACTCCAAAAACATGCCTCTGGTTACGCGGCAGTAAGTGGAACCTGGTTGTTAGTAGATTGGCGGATCACTTTTCGGGGCTAATAATCCCAGATATATAGTCAATTGGCTGCCGTGTTTCGCCCGTGAAATATACGGTGAATTCACTTCACAATATATTCTGTGCAGCACTTTGAAACGTCTCAAAGACTTAATAAGGCTCTATATCAAATAAAGGATTATTATAACTTGCATTGATACAGTGGCCCTCATGTGGGGCAGCATCTCGGAGTATTTAATAATATACTGTAAAGTGTAGTGACTGTGTACTGTGTGGGCGAAGCGCACGGTATCCAAACACGCACAGCAGCATCCCACAAGTAGTTGTGTTTGAGTGACCAAATTGTTATTTTTTGAGGGATTATTGTGACCGGAAAGCGATCCGGCAATCGATTTTATCTGTCGGCCAGGACATCGGGATAGAGAGAGAGAGAGGGGAAGTAACTCCCTTCTCTTCTCCCCTCCATCCCTGCACCCCCCCGCACCCTTCCCCCCACAGACAGCGCCACGGGAGATCTTTAAAGTCCACATGAACAGGGCACAGACGGGAGAGAGTGAGGTTTACATCTCATCCAAAAAGTATGGCGTCTCCGAATACAGGGCTGTGTCTCTCCCCCCAGCACTGCGCTGGAGCATCAGCCTGAACTGTGAGCACCGGACTGACCAGGGTGACATGCTTTCACGTGTGTGTATGTCAGACAACCGGCTCATCACGGTGATGGGTTTCCGTGTGTGTGAGACACCCAGTTGATCACGGCGACGGGTTTCCATGTGTGTGTGTCAGACACCCGGCTGATCACGGTGACGGGTTTCCGCGTGTGTGTGTCAGACACCCGGCTGATCACGGTGACATGCTTTCACATGTGTGTGTCAGACACCCGGCTGATCACGGTGATGGGTTTCCACGTGTGTGTGTCAGACACCCGGCTGATCACGGTGACGGGTTTCCACATGTGTGGGTCAGACGCCCGGCTGATCACGGTGACGGGTTTCCGCGTGTGCGTGTGTATGTATGTCAGACGCCCGGCTGATCACGGTGACGGGTTTCCGCGTGTGTGTGTGTCAGACACCCGGCTGATCACGGTGACGGGTTTCCATGTGTGTGTGTCAGACACCCGGCTGATCACGGTGACGGGTTTCCGTGTGGACTATACTTGTATTCGCTGGTTTCCCTCTTTGCTTCCTTTTCTTCCTCTGTTCCGTGTCAGTCTTCTCGCTGTTAATCTCTCCTTTGCTCGCCGTTTCTCCCATCTTCTCCACTTTGAAGCCTGACGCACAGAGATAGGAGTCCCGTGGAGCGCGGTCTTTCCTTTGAAGGCTGATCGGAGTGGATTCTGGAACATTCCAGGCTCTTGCGTTTGGAAGACTGTCCCATTCTGAGGTCACATCTCACCTGTGACACCACAGACCTTGGTTCATAGATAGAATCATAGAATCACCATCATCATAACAATAATAATCCTTGTATTTGATACAGCGCCTTATCACGTCATTGAGACGCCTCAAAGCGCTTCACAGAATGTATTGTGAAGTGGAGTGACTGTGTACTTTGTGGGCAAAATGCAGTAGCCAGTTGGGCACAGCAGTGTCCCACAAACAGTCGTGAAAGCCGGGCGGGGTGAAACCATAGGCAACTTACCTTACTCCATATGCCTCTGTTTAACTAGCAGTAAGTAGGAACCCACTTGTTAGTTAATTGGCGGATTGCTTTCCTGGTGTAATAATCCTCCAAAAAAAAATAATTTGGTCACTCAATCCACGACTGTTTTTGGGACACTGCTGTGCGCAATTGGCTGCCGCGTTTCGCCCACAAAACACACAATCACTACACTTTACAATATATCCTGTGGATCCCTTTGAGATGTCTCGACGACATGATAAGGCGCTGTATCAAATGCAAGGTTTATAATTTATATACTGTATTTCTATTTTCAAATAGAAACAACAGTAAAAACTGAAAACTGCGATACAGAACACTATCCAAATGGTGAAGAGGTTAGAGTTCTTAGGGCTGGGGGGGGGGGTGGGGGGGGGGGGGGTTAGGGTTGGGCTGGGATTAGGGTTACTAATTGCCAATTAGGGTTAGAGTTAGGGTTGACACTTAGGGTTGAGGCGTGTGGGGGTTAGGGGTTACAGTTAACGATTTGGGGTTTAGGGTTGGGTAAGGGTTTTAGGGTTGCGTTAGGGGTCAGGGTCGGGTTAGGAGATGGGGTGGGGTTAGTGGGTGATGGTTTAGGGTTGGGGTTAGGGACTGGGTTAGGGTTTTGAGGTTAGGGTTTGGGGTTAGGGGTTAAGGGTAATTAGGGTTAGGTTGGTTGCTATGTGTGGTCAGGATCTGTATTGGGACTTGTGTGCAGAGGTGGTGCTGTGTGTGTCTGATCATCATTATACACAATTATATTGTCAGGTTTGGTTCAGTGCAGTTGAGATTTGGTTTGTGTCGGGTTGGCTCAGACCTGTTGTAGTCCTTTGTGCAACTGGAACAAAATCTCCCCCCCACTCCTTCTCCCTTCCCCTGGAGTCATCTGAATTCCTTCCCTTCTCGGCTTTCTCCCACAATGACCTTTCCTCCTCGGTCACTCACCTCCACAACTCCCTCTTCCCCACTCCCGATTGCCCCCCTCAGCCCCCGAACCAACTCCTGCTCACACAATTCACCCTGGGAGACCATCCACCTCCGCTACCTGAAGGCACCTGGCTCTAATCTAATGGTCTATCAGCAGATCTGGCTGGACCTCATCAAAACTTACTGCCCCACTCTCACCTCCGCTAAATTGTCCTTCGACTCCAAGATAATCTTGGAGGTCAAGGACAACCCCGACTCCTCTTCTCTTCCGCCCACCCAGTGATGCCTCGCCCATCCTCTTCTCCAACTCTAACTTGAGGAGATGCTGGACTTCCTTGAGACCATAATCGAGCGGAGCCCCTCAGCCGCATCTGCCTTCCAACTGCTATCCCCTCCCCATCTCCCCATCACACCCTGGCCTTGATCCATCCCTCCCTCCACACCTTTGAACCTATCTCCCCCTCTCCTATCACACCCATCATAACCCACATAAAACCCACTACCTGCTCCATCGACTGCCCCTCTCCTTACCTACAGCTCCAACTCCCCCATGTCCCCCATTTCAAGTTTTTTTAGTGTGTAACTATTTACGTTACTTTAAATTTGCAGGGCCATGAATGTTGGTGGGCGACGGGTACCAACGCAAATATGAATGAACCAATGAAACACCACACTTGATTGAAACGCTCGGTCACAAGACAAGCAGCGGATCTTTGAGTGGGCTGTAATTTGACCTGGGAGTGTGGACGGACAGTGTAAAGAGAGTGCTATTCTGTCTCCAAACCCTGATCTGTACCAGTGTGAGTTACTGTTGGATGAGAAGATGATATGGATTGAATCACATGCACTGGATTCATCAAAATGGGTTGAGAATGAGAGCTTTGGTGAAATAAGTGATGAGACACTGCCCTACAGTGGCCACTCAGGGGTATTGCAGGTGTTGTTCACCTGTGTGGCCACACGGGGGCGCTGCAGCACAGCAATCGGATCAGAGGGGCTCGGTTGCATAGTACAACAGCGCCGCCATGTGGACGAGGTTGTGTATTACAGGCGCTGTTGTCCTGTCGTGTCCTTGATCATCAACTCTGAATTAATTTCTTGCTCCTGACTGGTTCCAACTAATGGCCCCTCGTTTGAGGGAAGCTTTGCAAAGAGGCTCGTGTTGCAAGTGTTAGTTATTTATTTGTTGATTGATTTCATAACTTTTCTTCCAATTTTTTCCCCAAATCAGAGAAATCACAGAGACGGAAACCAAATATCTGCAAAAACACAACAATGTGCAGAAAAGGGAAAGACAGACACTATCTTACACAAACAGCATCTTACACAAACCGCAATCTCTCATTCTCTTCAGTCTCCCACTCGCTCAAACCATTTTTTCTCCAAATCTCCAACAGCATAGAATGTCAGAGGTTAGGAGAGATTATAGGGAGGTTAGGAGACAGAAAGAAAGAGAGACAAACTGAGAGAAGAAGAGACAGACAGAGAAAGAGACACTTTTACAGAGAAATATGGGGGAGAAGGGAATATGAATAGTAGAGGCTTATGTTATGTGAGGCTTGTGTGTGGCACAAACAAGGCTCAGACCAGTTGAGCTAAACGTTTCCGTGCTCAGAAAGAGAGACTGAGAGAGAGGGAGAGAGAGAGAGAGAGAGATGGAGAGAGAGAGAAACTGAGAGACTAACGGATTGTTTGGGTGCCCCCAATCCCAGGCTCAATCTCGCTTTCCAGAGCCTTCTCGATTCTTTCCAGTTGATCTGAAATGCGTTCTAAAATCTTCAATATAGGGTTATTTGGATCCAGGGAATCCTGCCTTACTGGCATTGGTCGTTCCTTATCCTCATTCCCCGGTGGACGGAGTTGGGAAGCAGATGCTCCAGCCCACATGTCACTTGGGGACTTGGCGGATGTGGATTGTGGGGCGATGTTGGGGGAGCTCACTGAGAAAGCAGGTGTGCCCTTGTGTCTGTGAACATTCTGCATATTCCCTGCTAAAACCAGGAGATAAACAGTGATCAGGAGAGCGAACTAACTCTATTGATTCCTTTTGCAGCCCAGGGTCACATTGCCCGCCTCTGTCCATACCTCACACCCACAGCAGTAAAAACCCTCATCCATGCCTTTGTCACTTCGCAGCTGGACTATTCCGATGCCCTCCTCGCTGGTCTCCCCAGGTCCACCAAACACAAAATACAATTAACTCAAAACTCCGTCGCCCGGATTCTCACCCGCACAAAACTCCATAAACCCATCACCCGAGTCCTCACCAGGCTCCACCGGCTCCCAATCACCGAACAGATCGATTTCAAGATCCTCTCACTCGTTTTCAAATCTCTTCATGGCCTCACACGTCCCTACCTATCCAATTTGCTTGCCCCCCCACTCCATCACCTGTTGCCTGTGCTCAGCTAGCTCCGACCTCCTGTTCATCCCTCGTGCCCTCCTCTCCACCCTCGGTGGCCATGTCTTGAGCCACTACACCTCAAAACTCTGGAACTCTCTCCCTCAATCACTCCGACTTGACCCGTCTTTCAAGTCAGACTATGCCACCGTCAAGCTCTCTGAGATGCTACCTGTGAAGGCCACTATATAAATGCAAGTTGTTGTATAATGTGTGTTTTACAGTGTACAGAGTGAAGCGCTTGGAGATGTCTCCTGACTTGAAAGCCGTTGGGTCAAATGTAAGATAGTTATTACAACAACAACAACAACAACATGATTCCATTTATAGAGCACCTTTCACGTCGGGAGGACGTCCCAAGGCGCTGTACAGTTGGGTTAGGACCCGAGCAGGGGGGAAATGGTCAGGGTGAGGAGAGAGAAGGGAGGGAGCGAGGAAGGGGTAGAGAGTCGAGAGGGGAGCTGAAGGCTCGGTCAAAGAGAAAGGTCTTGAGACCGGCCTTGAAGGAGGAAAGGGAGGAAGCAGAGAAGGCACTGGGGGATAGAGTTCCAGAGCCTCGGGGCTGAGAGGCTGAAACCCCGGCCACCGATGGTAGGGCGGTTGGGGCGGGGGGTGTGCAGCAGACCGGAGCCAGAGGAACGGAGGGTATGGGCACGTACATAGGGGGATAGTAGGTCAGAGAGGTAGGAGGGAGCGAGGCCGTGAATGGCCTTGTAGGTGAGGATGAGGATCTTGAATTCGACATATTATTATCGTTACTGCGTCCAGCTCTGTATGTGTTACAACATCAACAGGTTACATTTGTATAGTGAGTGTTGGAGAAAGAGAGGAGCAGTTAGGCTGATGGTAGTGTTAGGTCTGGACAGATAGAAGGTAAAGCTAATTTCATACCACTATTTTCACCGAACATGAACCTCAGTCTCTTCTCTGCCACGTCTGTACAGGCCACTAAGAAATCGAGGAGGATCTTGTCCAGGGCATCGTCTCTGTCCTCTTTGTTCTCTTTGTTGTAACAGGTCACAATGAAAACATGGGGACAGTGGAGAGTAGCGAATTCCTCCTTCAATTGCTGAATGTCCCCTTTGTACTCATCGGCAAATGTTATCACCACCAGTGGAGCAATGCCTGGGAGAGAGAAAGGGCTCGTTGGTAAGAATTGCCTATCAGGGGGAACAATGCCAGTTCATATTCAATTACAATCGCATGAAAACAACCTGGACATAAAATATGATTCTATTTCAAATGGATGTCATCACCATTTCGATAATTATCCTCCCTGTAAAAAACCTCCTGTAAAATGTATTACTATTCGGGTTGGGTTTCTCTGCGCCCTTTGGGATTGTGTTTGACAAGCTTCCCGCTGCTTCTCCAAACAGGATCACTGCCCACAGTGACCAGTCTGCTCCCACCAAGTCCTGCCGACCTGGTCTTGTCTGTGGTGGTCAGTGTCCAGATGGCATCTGCTATCTCTGGCCCTGCACATCCCTGTGTTCCATATTCCCCGATACTTGGATTATTGATTATTGTGGCTGACTTACCTAAGGTTTTATTCAGCTTCTCAATCAGGCCTTTCGTGCTGTCCGGGGCTATGCCACAAGATGCTCTATGAGAAAATGACATAGAATACACCTTCAGAATAAGACAATAAGTGGAATGAGAAATGTAGGAGATAGTTTATACCCAAAGGGTGACAGACACGTGGATCAAATGACCAGCACAGGTGGTGGAACAAGGAACTACAAAATACTTCAAAAGGAATTGGAGAACTTCCTGGAAGTTAAATGGATTCAGGGATAAAGACATGGACTGAATCCTGTAGGGAGTTGGATGGAGAGTGAGATGAAGCGATGGTCCATTCTGGTCTGTAATCTCTGTGCTAGTGAAAGGAGAGCTCAGCAGAGCTTGTTTTTCACACAGAGAGTTTTTGAAAGGTGGCATTTTCTGTCAAGCAAGATTTTGGAGGCTGAGTCCATTGTGGTCTCAATAATAATAATAATAATCCTTGCACGTGATATAGCACCTTATCACATGGTCAAGACATCTCAAAGCGCTTCCCAGGTTATACTTTAAAGTGGTTTGGCTGTATTATATGGCCAAAATGCGGCAGCCAATCGCGTAAAGCAGTGTCCCACAAAAGACATGGAGTGAGCGATCAATTTTACCTGAGGTGTTATTGGCCAGGACACAGAGAGAGAGAGAGAAAGTTCCATTTCTTTTTGAATAGTGTCATGGGATCTTTAACGTCCACCTGGCAGATAGGACCTCAGTTTAACATCTCATTTGAAGGACAGCGCCCACTTCCCCCCCGCCCCTGACCCCCTGCTGACAGAGCTGCATCGGAGCTTAGACATTGTGATTCAAAGGTTTGAACCCACAACCTTTTGATTCAGAAGTGAGAGAGCTACCACTGTGAGGGAAGTGGTCAGGTCTATCAGAGATGGAGACTTGAAGGGGTTTGGGGATAGGGCGAGGCAATTGAGATTGAATGAATACTTGCTCTGACTCGATGACTGAATGGCATCCTTCTGTCCTGTAAATTTTTGTGATTCTCCATACAGGTTCTGGCTAACATGTAGAAGGTTGACTTAGGGAGCATGATGGAGGCAGATAGTGTGGCAATTTCCACAGGAAATTGGATGGGTAGTTTGAGGATAAAGGGGATGTTGGTATTTGAAACCAAAGTTGTTTCTGAAGATGGACTACTCTACATAGCTCTTTTCTGGTCCTGTTAATTCCTATATATCTAAAGTTACACGTCGGACTACTCAAAAATGAAATAGTTAAATGTGCTTACTTGAAAACAATGACAGCAATGGAAATTACGGAATCTTTAGATTCAGGTCGTACAGAAGATGTTTGCCTGAGCCAAGATGGTAAAAAATTTCTTATCCCCCATGTCCCTTCTCCAGGATTCTGCTCCCCACCTGAGAATCATTAATGACAAAGAAAATATGAAAAAAAATTAACAGCTTTAAAGGGTTTTTAAACCGTTCTGGTCTCCCCGTTCCAGAGAGAGTGTCAGAGCCAGGGAGAGGGGTGTAAATTCCTACAGAGGCTCTCATTAATAATAATGATAATAATAATCCCTGAATCTGACAGAGATAGCGCTTGTCAAAGTCACAAACAACATTCTCTCTATCTGTGACCAGGGTTCCCTCTGCCTCCTCGTCCTCCTGGATCTCTCTGCCACATTCGATACAATCGAAGAGACCATCGGCTCTCCTCCCTCATCTACCTTAGTGTAACTGCACTTGCATGAGTCCTACTTAACCAACCGCCTCCATTTCATCTCAGCAAATGGTTTCTCCTCCCGCCCCCATCCGGTCACCTGCGGGGGTACCCCAGGGCACTGTCCTGGCCTCTTCATTTCCTTATCTATATGCTCCCTCTGGGCGTCTCAGATACAGGGTAAACTTCCACATATTTGCGGATGACATATTGTGCCTACTTTGCCTCCTCCAGTACCAATACCAGGTCCTCCGATGTTCTATCAGCTTGTTTGGCAGACATCAAGGCCTGGGTGAGTGTAATGGACAAGATGGAAGCCATACTCCTTGGCTCCCATCAACATCTTCACTTCTGCCGATCCAAACTCCTCAACCTCCCTGGGCTCAACGAATTAGTGCACAACCTAGGCGTCCGGATCGACCCCCAGCTGTCCTTCCTCACCCACATCCAGTCCCTGACCAGGACCACCTTCTTCCACCTCCGCCACATTGCCCGCCTCCAACCATACCTTACCCCAAATGCAGCTGAAACCCCCGTGCATGTGTTTGTCACCTCCCGCTTGGATTACTCCAACGCATTCCTCACCCCAGCTCCACCATTCGCAAGATCCAGCTTATTCAAAACTCCACCACCCACATACTGACCCATGGATTGAGAGACCACTTTTTGTTTTAAGTGATTATTACCCCTGGAAAACGATTCGCCAAAGAACTAACAACCAGGGTCCTACTTATTGCTGGTCAAGAGAGGTGAGTATGTGTGTGTGTGTGGAGTAAGGAAACTTGGCAAAGGTTTCTCCCCCACCTGGAATTATTGAACCCTGGTCATCTCGCTTGCGAGGGCGATAACCAATACATTACAGGACAAATGAGTGTCTGTAGTTGTGAAGACTTCAATAATAATAATAATGATGATAACAATGATGGACTTACTTGTTTGTATGTTAAACTGAGTCAGGGAAACCCTCTTCAGGTCAATTATCCCAACGCTGTCCACCATTGAGATGTGCTCTGTCACTGTGTACACATCTGGTCTGGTGGTGACACTCTGTGCCCCACAGTTGGTCCCCACTCTGTCCCTAAACTCCTCGTTCGCCCACACACACAGACACGAGTTGATGATGGAGGACTTCCCGTGTCCGACAAGTCCCATCAGTTGGATTTGCAGCTTCTTCGGAAGAGAATCATTTCCAGTTGCAAACGAATTCCCGGGAACGTATTCACTGATCGTTCTCCTGAGTTGGTGCAACTTTTCCCCTTCATTTCGACAGGAAGAAAACGAGGAGTAACGGGTTAAAAAAAAAAGAAAGGGAAAGATTGTCGCAGATAACGCTGATCAACGAAGCTCTGTCACAGTTTGTCGTTGGGAGTTTGAAGAATGTGTGTGAGAGAGAGAGAGAGAGAGAGAGAGAGGTGTCGCGAAATAACTCGAAATAAAAGTTTGTCAGAGTTTAGAGAGAGAGAGAGAGAGAGAGACAGGAGCCCAGTTACTAACTGGAGTGGTTTGTAACCCTCCGTTGGCAGATTTTAACAGCTATTAAGTTGTGAAGTGAATATAAATCACTATTGATGAAATGTCACCGTGTCATTTTAACCCCTTGCACTCGACTTTGGTGCCCACCACATCTTTTCCTGCTTTGGTTTCGACCATCAAATGCAATTGCAATGGGGTTCCGCAGCAAAACCTCATCAGCTCACAGTTAATCATATTAGTCGTACAAAAATCTCATCAGCTCACCCATGTTCAGGCGGTGGGTTGGGATCCAGAGGGACGTGAGGGATGGATGTTCAGCTGGTAGAGCAGTCTTGAGATGTTGTGAGGAACCCTCCTAAACCCTCCTAAACCCACCAAGGATCTGTTAACAGATTCACTCCGACTTGTGCGGAGGCGGGGCGAGGTTATTGCTGTGGATGCATATAAAGTGACTGTGCGCCAGTCACTACACACCGTACACCGTTCCCATCAGAAACGCCAGTCGTCGCTCAACATGGGTAAGTTGGACACCCAACTTTCCTACCAGATCAGAAGGGTTCTCTCTCTCTCTCTCTCTCTCTCTCTTTCTCTCTCTTTCTTTTCAAATCTTGACCCCCATCTCTCTCTCTCTCTCTCTCTCTCTCCAAACTCCGACATTCTCTCTCTCTCTCTCTCTCTCTCTCGCTCTTCAGATTTTGAATTTCTCTCTCTTTCTCCAAATTCGGACCTTCTGTCTCTCTCTCTCTCTCCAAACTTTGACGTTCTCTCCCTCTTTCTTCAAACTCTGACTTTTAGGTGTTTCGCCTACAAAGTATACAGTCAATTCGCTTTACAGTATATTCTGCGAAGCGCTTTGAGACATCGACAAGACACGAAAAGCGCTATATCAAATGCAAGGATTATTATGATTATTCTCCCTTTAAGTTTTGACACTCCCTCTTTCTGTTTCTAAACTCTGACGTTCTCCGCTTTTTTCAGATTTTGATGTTCCCTCTCTCCCTCACTTTTTTTAAGCTCTGACATTCCCTTTCTCTCCCTCTCTCTCTCTCTCTCTCCAAACTCTGACACGACTGTTTGTGGGAAACTGATGTGCGCAATTGGCCCACAAATATAGTCAATTCACTTTACAGCATATTCTGTGAAGCACTTTGAGACGTCTAGAACATGTGAAAACGCTATATCAAATGCAAGGATTATTATTCTCTCTCTCTCTCTCTCTCTCTCTCTCCCGCTCTCTGTTTTAGTGTTAAAAAAAACTTTCTTGCCAGCGTTATTTCTAACAATTTCTCTCAGTTTCTGTTTTCTTATTTTCTTCCTGTTGAAATTAGCGGAAAAGTTGGACAAGCTCAGGAAAATAATGTGGAAATATGTTCCTGGGAATTCATTGTTCACTCGACATAAGAATATTCCGAAGAAGCTGCAAATCCAGCTGATTGGTTTTATCGGCCACGGGAAATCTTCTCTCATCAACTCGTGTCTGTGCGCCTGGAAGAATGAGGAGTTTAGGGACCGAGCAGGGGCCAGCAGTGGGTTACAGACTGTTACCACCAGACGAGATGTGTACACAATGACAGGAAGCATCTCAATGGTGGACAGCGCTGGGGCACCCCTCATGGATAGAAAAGCAGTGTCTGAAATTAAACTGCAAACAGGTTAATGTCAGTTTTATTATTTTTTGTAATTAGCCGGGTCACACTCACTGATCCACGCGGAAACCCATCGCCCAGAGTAAGAGACTCCAAACCCAGACTGAGAATCGTGTCACCTACATACAGAAATGTCCCTGTGTCTGGGATGGAGTGTGCTCTCTCTCTCTCTCTCTCTCTCTCTCCCTGGAGGCAGTTACACTGCTTACCTAATTCTGGCGAGTGTCATTTGCAAGTTGGTGTCAGACAAGGCTTGGTGGGGTCGGTGGGGAGGGCAGAATATGCATTGGGGGAGTGAGGGGGTAACTGCTGGAGTCTAAAAAGCTAAAATAACTTAGCTTGCCATTGCTTTCCCTCTGGCAATCTTATCCAGCTTGGACCACTCTGTTAGGGCTTTGGCTTCCAGGGTTAACAACAACAACAAGATTACATGTGTATAGCGCTTTTCACGTCGGGAGGACGTCCCAAGGCGCTGGACAGTGTACAGAATTTCAAACCCAAGCAGGGGTCCAGGAGGGAAAAGGGAGGGGAGGGGAAGGGGGTTGGCTGATGACATAGCCAAAGAGGAGTGTCTTGAGGTTGGACTTGAAGAAGGCTAAGGAGGGGGCGAGGCGGAGTGATTGGGGGATGGAATTCTAGAGGTTGGGGTCAGAGCGGCTGAAGACTTCCTCCTGACGTGAAAGGCGCTCTATAAATGGAATCTTGTTGTTGTTGTTGTTGTTGTTGACTCTCCAGTCAATGGTGAGGCGGGTGGGGTGGGGGACGTGGAGCAGGTTGGAGCCGGCCGAGCGGAGGGTGTGGGCGGGTTGATAAGGGGTTAGGAGGTCACAGAGGTAGGGTGGGGCGAGACCGTGGAGAGCTTTGTAGGTGAGGACCAGGATTTTGAACTGGATCCTCTGAAGGTTAGGGAGCTAATAGAGTCGGTGAGAATGGGGGAGATGGGGTCATGGAGCTGAGTGGGATGACTTCCTGCCCCCAGTGACTGGTCTGCTCTCCCAAGTCTTGTCTATGAGCCAGGCTGGGCTGTGCTGTCATCAGCATTGCCCTGTAATACTGCAGACCCATCTGGCTCAGGAACCAGATTACTGAGACCGCCACAGAGGGCTGGCTTGATTTTGATATTCCATTGCTAACCATGTCAGCTTGGAGCCAGTTCAGCTCCGAGGAGACCGTGCTTACCTCTCCTCCACTTGGCGATGGCAGGTACCATGAACTCCCTGCAAAATTCCAGGCATAACCATTGCTCAGCATGGAATGTGTGACCATCTTGACCTCAGCTGGGACACAAATGTGTCAGTGTTAGTGTTAATTTATTTACTGATTGTTAACTTCCTAACTTACTGCGGAAAAAACTGTCTCAGTTAATTCAGACTCCATTCCTGGGTGCGCAGCCTCCCCTCCTTCCCCCGACACACACACACATACACTCACACACACAGACACACTCACACACACACTCACAAAAATAATTACAACAACTTGTATTTATATAGCGCTCCTCAGGCAGGGTAACATCTCAAACCACTTGACAGTGGCGGAGCACAACACCGAGCCGGGGGGAGGGGAGAGGTGACATTAGGCATGATCAGACCCGATCTGAAGATGTGGAATGAGGAGGCAAGGCGAACGGATAGACAGAGTTTTGGGGTGTAGTGGCTGAAAGCGCAGCCACCGATGGTGAAATGGAGGGCATGAGGAACATGCAGGAGACCGAGCCAATCAAGCTGAGGCAGCGGGCAGTTGGGGGTAAGCAGGCCGGAGAAATAGGGAGGTTCCAGGGATTTGAAAAAGAGTGTCTTGAAATTGATCCGTTCAGTGATACAGAGCCAGTGGAGCCTGGCTAGAACTGGTGTGATGGGGTACGGAGTTTAGTATGGGTAAGTTTGCGGGTGACGGAGTTTGGGCTGGATTCTGTGCATGGTGGAGCTGGGGGGATCGGCAAGGAGAGCATGAAAAGTTGAGTCGAGAGGTGAGGAACAAGCATTTCGGCTGCGTCTGGGGTAAGGTACGGTCAGAGGCGGGTAATGTGGCGGAGGAAGGTGGTCCTGCTCAGGAACTGGATGTGGGGAAGGAAGGGCAGTTGTGAGTTGAATCTGATGCCTAGGTTGCACACTGGTTCGGTGAGTATGAGGTTAGACATGACAGGTGAGTCTGAGGGAGGGACACATAGACAGACTCATTCATACATACTTACACACACAGACACACACACACTCACAAACACAGAAACACACAAATCAACACACAAACACCTGAACACACACACAAACTCAAACACACATACAGAGCAGGACAGTACCGGGCTCTACCCCTAGTCATTGTAAGTTACTGGTGGTGAGGAAGATGGGGAGAGGGAGGTGATGAATGCTGTAAATAGATGTCTTTATGATTTTCTTTGTTATTAACCATTCTCAGGTGGGTACCGTAAGCCTGGAGAGGAGGTGATCTGGGACAAGGGATTTTGGTCTTTTGTGAAGGATTGCTTTGTGTGGAGTGACGCAGATGTATTGCTTGTGCCAGTCATTGTATTTAAGTAAGTAAATATTATAATATTAAACACTATAATATTAAATTAATTAAATAATGTTGCTGAACACTTTAACATCAAATTTTAGGAACATGTAACCAGAGAAGTTCCCCAGTAAAGAAGACTTTCTGATCTCAGCCTTTCTACGTCTGTTCTAACCATTGCTCTCACCCTGTGCCCTCCTGCCCTGCTGCCTTGGCACGTCATAGTATTGTTCTGAGATTAACCCTGCAAGCCAAAGCCCTAACGAGAAGGGTGGCCCTAGCTGGACAATAATAATAATAATATTAACAGTAATAATCCTTGCATGTGATATAACAACGTATCACACCTTCAAGATGTCTCAAAGTGCTTCACAGAATATACTGTACAGTGAATTGGTTGTATATTTTGTGCGCGAAATGTGGCAGCCAGTTGCGCACAGCTGTGTCCCACAAACAATCGTGGATTGAGTGACCAAATTATTATTTATTTATTTATTTATTTATTTATTTGTTTGTTTGTTTGTTTGTTTGTTTGTTTATTTATTTACTTACTTACTTACTTACTTACTTACTTATTTGCTTGTTTGTTTGTTTGTTTATTTGGTTGGTTGGTTGGTTGGTTGGTTGGTTGGTTAGTTAGTTAGTTAGTTATCTATCTGAAGGGATTACTTCCCCCGGACAAACAATCCGCTAATCAATTAACAACCGGGTTCCTACTTATAGCTAGGTAAATAGAAGCGTGTGGAGTAAGGAAACTTGTCTAAAGTTTCGCCCTGCCTGAGAATCAAACCCAGGTCCTCTTGCTTTCGAGGTGAGTGTTCGAACCAATACACTACAGAACTCCATGACAAGCAGTGAGAAAGCTTGCCAGACCCCACTATCAATGTGGTTTTAACTGGTTGGATTCCAGCAATTCACCCAACACCATATTCTGGGGCCCTCAAGCCTTGGCTCTTGCCGACCTGCGCCTAATATTTTCTGGAATTAGATAAGCAGGATGCATCCCCTGAGAGAGAGAGAGAGCATTCCATTCCAAAAATCTATCTCAAGAATTTCCATGTGCAAGATTTCCATGGAGTTCTCAGTTTGGGTTGGATACTCTTAAGAACAGTGATGGGTTTCCACAAGTATCAGACACCCGGTTGACCCCCCAAAATTCTGAGATTACTTTTTCAATCACACCTCTAAGATTTCTATTTCTGAAACTCTGTATACAGTTGTTAACCTTACTTCATGAGATGAATCTGAAGGATATTTATCATAGGGTGGGGGTAATTCCCCCAAATTACATGCAGGGTTTATGACCAGGGTTCTGGTCCTCATAGAGCATTTGTGTAAGGCAAATGCAGGCAATGTCTTCAGGAAATTAGGCGAGACAACCTGCAGGTAAATAAAATTGGCAATTCCCATTTTATCCAATAATTCAGCTGAGTTCTAAACTGATGTAAGCATCAATGGACCAAAGGAATGATCCAGTGCCCAATATCCTCAATCCATCTGTGCTGGTCATTTGATCCACGTGCCTGTCACCCTTTGGGTATAAACTATCTCCTACAGTTTTCATTCCACTTATCGACCGTATTCTGAAGGGGTATTTCATGTCATTTCCTCACAGAGCATCTTGTGGCTTAGCCCCGGCTGTCATGACAGACCTGATCACAGAGCTGGACAACGCCTCAGGTACGTCAGCCACAATAGTCAATAATACAATATCCGGGGAATGTGGAACATTCCACATGTGCGGGGCCAGAGATAGCAGCTGCCATCTGGGGTCTGCAGTACTCAAGGGCACTGACCACCACTCGGCTCCGGATAACCTGCTGCCAAAGCCCTGATTGATGGGAAGCCATTCTTGGTTGGAGAAGCAGCGGGAAGCTTGTCAAACACAATCCCAAAGGGCGCAGAGAAACCCAACCCGAATAATAATACGTTTAACTGGAGATTTTTTACAGGGAGGATAATTATCGGAATGGTGACGACATCCGTTTGACATAGAATCACATTTTATGTCCAGGTTGTTTTCATGCGATTGTAATTGAATATGAACTGGCATTGTTCCCCCTGATAGGCAATTCTTACCAACGAGCCCTTTCTCTCTCCCAGGCATTGCTCCACTGGTGGTGATAACATTTGCCGATGAGTACAAAGGGGACATTCAGCAATTGAAGGAGGATTTTGCTACTCTCCACTGTCCCCATGTTTTCATTGTGACCTGTTACAACAAAGAGAACAAAGAGGACAGAGACGATGCCCTGGACAAGATCCTCCTCGATTTCTTAGTGGCCTGTACAGACGTGGCAGAGAAGACACTGAGATTCAAGTGCAGTATAAAATAACTTTATTTCGTCAAAAAAAGTTTGAAAATGCACTTGTGAAGAATTAATTCTGATTTTAAACATGCTTAATAAAAACAATTAAATCTGAGTTGAATAGTTGCTTTGTTGTACCGTTCCACTTTACCCGAAAATGTTGTGATCACTGATAAATAAGCGACAGAACAAAATTTGCTGGGAGCACTCAGCAGGTCAACAACATCTATAGAGAACGGAAAGTTAAGTCAACGTTTCGGGTCTACAACCCTTCGTCAGAACCGACGCATGTTGGGAGGGCGAGGCTTTGAAGGGCTAACAGAGAGAGGGGAGGCAGGGCAAGGAGGAAGACAAAGGACAAAATAAGGTAGAGGACAGGGGATGATCTTACTGCATTCACTGCTCATGATGTGCTCTCCTCTACTTTGGGGAGACGAAACGTAGATTACATTAGAATACATTAGAATATTAGAATAAAACACAGAAACAGACCATTCGACATCTATGCTATTTACCTCAACAACGCCTTGTGGTTGCATGTTCCACATTCCTACTGCTCTATGTGTGAAGAAATTCAGTTTCATTTCTTTCATTTCAACGCTGAGTTGGTTTCTTGTAAGAGCGGGTGATTTACAGGAATCTGATGAAACTGAACCACATCACAGGGCTGACAATATCACACTGAGGCACCACACACAACAAAAGAACGTAAGGTTTGCAAGATGAAAGAAGACGAAGTGGTGTGGTTCATCTCAACGCCGAGTTGGTTTCTTGTAAGAGCAGGTGATTTACAGGAATCTGATGTTATCTTTGTGTGAATGTGAAGATGTGGCCAGCAGTGGAACAAACCTCTCTGTTGATACCTGATGCACAAGGTCATAACATTAGGGTGAGATAGGCAGTGATGTCCTACTGACATGTGCATGACTGACCAAAATATGTGTCTAAGTATAACTTGCATCGTGCACAGAATAAGAAAACAGGTTTCCTGAAACAGTTTGACTGCTTATCTTATTCTAGTCACAACAATGAAATACAGTTTATACTTATCTGGCACCTTTTACATCAGGAGGATAAACCTTCATAGAATCATATAATCATACAGCAGAGAAGGAGGCCATTCGGTCCATCGCGCCTGTGCCAACTCTTTGAAAGAGCTATCCAAATTAATCTTACTCCCCGCTCGCTCCGCATAGCCTTGCAAATTTGTCTTCCCCAAATATCTATCCACTTCTCTCTTGAAAGTTGTTATCGAATCAGCTTCCAACACTCTTTTAGGCAGTACATTCTAGATCCAAACAACTCGCTGTGTGAAAAAATTTCTCCACATATTCCCTCTGGTTCTTTTGACAACTATCTTAAAACTGTGTCCTCTGGTTACCGACCCACCCGCCAGGGAAATAACAACAAAACGAAAACAACACAATTTCACTTTATTCACCCTATCAAATCCCATCATAATTTTGAAAACTTCTATTAAGTCTCCTCTTAACCTTCTCTGCTCCAAGGAGAATGATCCTCGCTTCTCTATCCTCACCTGATAACTGAAGTCTCCCATTCCTGGTCCCATCCTGGTAAATCTCCTTTGCATCCTCTCCAACGCCTTGACATCTTTCCTAAAGTGTGGAGCCCAGAACTGAACACAGTCTCTAGCTGAGGCCTAACCAATGTTTTATAAAGGCTTATCATAACTTTTGTATTCCTGACTTTTGTATTCTATTCCCCCATTTATAAAGCCTATTATCTCGAATGCTGTTTTTAATAGCTTTATCTACCTGTACTGCCACCTTCAAAGATTTACTTATATGAATCCCCAGATCTCTCTGTTCCTTCACCCCCTTTAAGATTGTACCATCTGGTATATATTTGTAAGATGAATGAAGACCAAGATCCATCCAGTTCGCCTTCCACCAGCCTGGCAGTCGCATACACATGTCATGACCAAACAATATACGTATCCCACGATATTATTTCCTTGCAGAAATCTATCTAATTTGCTTTTGAAAGAATCGGCACTTTCTGCTTCCACCGTCTCCCGAGGGAGCCTGTTCCATTTACTACTCGCTGTCTGAAATACAGTTTCCTCAATTGTACCATCTAGCTTATATTACCTCTCCTTATTCTTTCTCACAAAATGCATCACTTTGCATTTCTCCACATTATACTTCATCTGCCACATGTCTTCCCATTTTACTAGTCTGTCTATGTCCATTGGTCGATGACCCTTCCTCAGAACTAAGGCATGTTGAGAGGCAGAGGCTCTTAAGGCCTAACACAGAGGGGGGAGGAAGGGCAAGGAAGACAAAGGAGAAAATGGGCACGAGGACAGGGGATGATGGGTTAAAGAGGTGTTAATGATGTAAAACAAAGTGGGGGATTGCAACAAAACAAGGGAATCCGGTGATAATAATGCAAAACAAAGTGGGGTGGGAATTGCAACAAAATATGCAGACCAGAGAGAGAAAAGGTGTGCCTGGGACCCAGATGATGTGGCAATGGTCACAGCAGAGGGGGAGGGTGTAGGTGAGCTGTTATGGTCTGAAATTGGTACATCAATATTGAGGCCAGAGGGCTGTAAGTTCTCCAGCAGATAAATGAGGTGCTGTTCCTCGAGCTTGTACTGTGTTTCATTGGAACAGCATAGAGACCATGAAGAGGTCAGTGTGCGAGTGGGCAGTGGTGTTCCACAAGGATCGGTGTTGGGACCACTGTTGTTCATAATATACATTAATGATTTGGACTCAGGAATCAGCAGTAGAATTTCAAAATTTGCAGACGATACCAAATTGGGAGGAGTAGTTAATACAGAGGAGGACTGCAACAATAAACTTGCTGAATGGGCATTTAAATGGCAAATGCATTCAAATGTAGAAAAGTGTGAGGTGGTTCATTTTGGTAGAAGGAATTAGGAAATCACATACATCCTGGAAAATAAAAACCTAAATGGGGTAGAGGAGCAAAGGGATCTAGGGGTACAGGTACACAATTCATTAAAGGTAACAATGCAGGTTAATAAGGCCATAAAAAGGCAAACCAGGCATCAGGGTTCATTTCCAGAGGGATACAAATAAAAAGCAGAGAAGTTATGGTAAACTTCTATGGTAAATTGTTTCAGGAAACCTATTTGTTATTGTTACTGTCCAACAAACGATAAAAAATATATTTAGATACTAATTTCTGTCAGTCACCCACCTGTCAGTAGGTGATAAGGCTCTATATCAAATGCAAGGACTATTATTATTGTTAATATTTTATGATGCCTTCATTGTTGAGAAATGTGTACCACAAGTTGAAGTTCATGTCAAGCAGCTTCCAAACCAAGAGTTGTGGTTGTGTTTGTGAGAGAGAAAATGATATCAAACCCTTGCGTCTTTCCTGCGGATTTTGCTGGATCCACAAATAGAGGGAGAAGTTTTGTGTTTTTAATAAATTGATTTTTGTTGAATTCATTTAATATAATCCATTCAGAATGTTTTGAGTTTACACAGCACATCAAGAAATTCACAAGGTGTGTTGTTACATCATCCCTCTTTTACAATTTAAAATTAAAATACAGAAAACTGAAAATAAGCATTGGAAGTAAATCTTAATAAATCATTAATTACACCACAAAATGTTTAATATTCCCAGACTCCTCAAGTCTCTATCCATCTCCCTCTCACACCTCAATCCATCCCAACTCTCCAAGTCTCCATCCATCCTCTTTCTGTACCTCAATGCACTTGCTGACTCCCCCAAGTCTCCATCTGTCTCCCCCAGTGCCTTCGCCTTGCTTCCTCCCTTTCCTCCTTCAAGGCCGGTCTCAAAACCTTTCTCTTTGACCGTGCCTTCAGCTCCCCTCTCGACTCTCTTCCTCCTCCTCGCTCCCTCCCTTCCCTCCCCTCACCCTGACCATTTCCCCCCTCCTCTCTCCCTCCCTTCCCTCCCCTCACCCTGACCATTTCCCCCCTGCTCGGGTCATGACCCAACTGTGCAGCGCCTTGGGACGTCCTCCTGACGTGAAAGGCGCTCTATAAATGGAATCTTGTTGTTGTTGTTGTTGTTCTCACTCCCTAATGTCTAACTGCCTTGAGACTAATGTTAAAACCAAGCTCTCATTTGATTTGGATCCTGTCGCCAAGTTTCTCATTAATTGCCTCAAGCAAATCTGCCCTTAACCTAAGTCTCCACCCTCCACCCTCTTACCACAGCCCGGCCCCCTCCACCCAGGCATTCATCTGCAGAAAAGTCATTGACTGCCTCCTTTTCTGGTAACTCGTGCCTAACATCAAACCCAAACTGAACACATTGCTGTAAGCGAGGGATGAGCAGGGCTCTGTGTGACTGGAATGCACGAATAGGGATTCTAAACCTCAGTATGGTTTTAGACTTAAAACTATCGTCTTAAAATTTAAGATAATGTGAAATTTTGAAATATAATCTTACATCTAGTCTTAATTTGTAACTAGATTTTTCTCCAGTGGTGAAAAACAACTCATCTTTTTATTTATTTTTTATTAACTCTATCAAAATTGTAACTAATTTTAAATATTTTTTATTATCAACTCTATCAAAATGATTAATTCTATTAAAATTTTAACTGATTTTGGCAAGAGTTAACAAGTATTATTATTATTAAATCAATCAAAATTAAAACTGAATTTCCAGATCATACATAATCGTCTAATTCAAAACATTCCTCAAGCCTCAAAACATAAGGAGTCTGACTGTATCATTGAAGCGATTATTTGTGTAAGAATTGAATTGAATCATTGGAGAAGTTTTCATGATAATTACTTTTCAGTTTGTTTTTTTGTTAGTCCATTACGCACAACAGTGTCCCACTCGGGGAGTGGTGAGTAACCAAATCTTTTTATCTATAGAAAGTTTTAGACTCCCCAGCTCTAAATTAATCCGTTCAAAATAATAATAATAATTTGGTGACTGAATCCACAACTGTTTGTGGGACACTGTAGTTCACAATTCACTGCCGCGTTTCGCCCTCAAAAATAGTCAATCCACCTTACAGTATATCCTTTGAAGTGCTTTGAGACGTTTCAAAAGTCTGGACTTGAAATGGTGACAATGTAGAAAAGGTACAAAAGAACCAAGATGACTATTGCGATTCCTGCTGGTCTGTTCGTGTTGAGCAATAACAGTACGACCACACCCAGCCTCCAAACATTAAACTGATCCCGTTCTAGAAAACAGAAGAACGAATGAATCACATCTCAGACGAAACAGAACGGCTTTTTTCTAAGTCTCATTCAGAAAATATTATAAAAACACAGATTTCATAAATATACAGGAACATAGGAACAGGAGGAGGCTATTCAGACCCTCAAGCCTGTTCCACCATTCTTTAAGATCATGGATGCTCTGAACCTCAATTTCAACTTGTTTCCACTACTTTAAAAAAAAGGGAAAAACAGTGTTACATTACACACAGTGTCACATCTGAACTTGTGGGTGGGGGTCCAGAGGGCTGTGAGGGGAAAGGATCGGTGACTGAAGGGGCAGGCCAGCATATAGAGCTTGAGACAAAGCTTGAAGGAACTGAGAGAGGGACATGAAGGGCGGGGACATGAAGCAGGCTGGCCCTCGCTGAGAAAAGGGAGGGATCAGGTGGGTGGGATTTGAGGAAGGACATTCAGAGGTAGGATGGACAAGACCATGGAGGGATTCCAAGGTGAGGACAAATTCTTAAACTCAATCTTCTAACAACAACAACAAATTACATTTACACAGCACCTTTCATGTCGAGAGGATGTGTTAAAGCACTGGATAGTCAGGGATTTGGAACCGAGCTAGGTGTTGGAATCAGGAGGGGTGGAGGGCAGGGAGAGTGGTGGTAGGAGGGTGACTGAAGGCGCGAAGAAGAGGATCTTCTCTTGTGGAGTCCTGTAGCTCAGTGGTTAGACCTGAGTTCAATTCCAGGCAGGGCAAAACCTTGGGCAAGTTTCCTTACTCCACACGTCTAATAATAATCCCTCCAAACCAAAATCAATAATAAATTGGTTATTTTCAACCCATGACTGTTTGTGGGACACTGCTGTGCGCAATTGACTGCCGCATTCGCCCACAAATATACAGTCAATTCACTTTACAGTCTATTCTGTGAAGCACTTTGGGACATCTAGAAGACGTGAAAAGCGCTATATCAAATGCAAGGATTATTATTTTATTATTATCTTGAGACGGGCTTTGAAGGAGGCAAGGGAGGCAGTGAGGTGAAGCGACTGTGGGATGTAGTTCCAAAGGGTGGGGGCAGAGAGGCCAATGGTGGGATGGGACGACCAGGGGCGTGGAACAGACCGGGGCTTGCTGAGCGGCGGGAGTGGACAAATTGATTTGTGTGAACGTGTCACCGAGGTTGGGAGGAGCAAGGCCATGAAGGGATCCATTGACTTTTAGTAAACATCACATTTCCATCTCCACCACGAGACTTACTGTGTGTGACTGGCAGGGAGATGAGCTGGAATCCCTTATCCTCACTTATGTTGATCCACTGACCTTGAATCAGTAAAGCCAGATGCCAGTGCCTATGCTCAACAACAACAGCAACTAATTGCATTTATATAGCGCCCTTCACAAGGGTAGCATCCCGGAGTGCTATGCTCACTTTATGAAGTAAATCATCAGCAAGATTATAGCCAGCAGAACTGTGATACCCAACAGAAAAAAAACATCCATTTTCAGGAGAGTTCGAGGCCAGTTACATGTGGAATGAACTGAGAAATGCACAATGTGAGACTGGAGCAAAGGCTGGAGCAAATCATTGGCCATTTCGTACAACATTTTTCTCCACACACCCCCACAAATACATACCTCACACACACAGACACACCCACCAACACACACCACCACACCCCCCCAACACACACACACACTCCCACACATACACACACACGCACAAACAGCCACACACACCACAACCATTTGTGGGACACTGCTGTGCACAATTGGTTGTCATGTTTCGCCCACAAAATATACAGTCAATTCACAGTATATTCTGTGAAACGCTTTGAGACGCCTCAATCATATGATTATTATAACTGGAGAAGGTTATTGGGGAGAGAATTTCAGAGAGCAGAATGTGTGGCTGAAGGTCGATCCCCACATCAAGTTCCTGACCCAGAACCGCTTTCCTCCATCTCAACCACATGGCCCGCCTCTGAATTGGTGGTTGGGGGCCCAGAGGGGTGTGAGGGGAGAGGAATGGTGACTGAAGGGGCAGGCCAGAAGATTGGTCTTGAGACATTACCCCAAACACAACCAAAACATTCGTCTGGTCATCCAACCTCGACTATTCAAATGCCTTCCGCGCCAGTCTCCCCAGCTCCACCATCCACAAAATCCAGCTAATCCAAAACACTGCCACCCCCATACTCACTTTTACTAAACTCCGTACCCCCATCACCCCAGTCCTACTACCCTGTTCTCCCTTCCCTCCCGGTCTCTGGCACCTAAGCCATGACTACCATCCCCCGTCTACCCCCCAACCCTCCAGGCTGTCTCCCGTAGTCCACGGGCTGATGCTGCCCCACTGATCACTCACTCCCGGACTCTGCGTGCGTGTTTGGGCTGCCGCCCTGACCCGAGCTGCTCCCCATGAAACTGCTCCTACAACAGTCCTGGCATCCTCCGTCAGGCCCATTGTGGCTCCCAGCATTGGTTGTCCCAGAGTAGCCACTTCAAAACTATCCCATCGCTCACTCTCTTGGCACCAACCACCGACGAAAGGCAAACACTTCTTCTCCCTCACTTATCCATACTCTTTCCAACTCTCCTCAAACTCCACGGTCATTTCTCCCCAATGACCTAAATTTCTCTCTATACCACTCTCCCCATCACTGCCGCCCACCTGCAAACCTATCTGCATTTCCCTCCAAAATGTCCGCTCCCTCTCCAACAAAGCCCTCACTATCCATGACCTCATCCTGGATGAGCACATTGATATTCTTGGGCTTACAGAAACCTGGCTCTCCCCCGGTGACCCCGTCCCAATTGTTGATGTCTCTCTTCCTGCCATTTTACAGCACCGCCCGCCTCAACCAACGTGGCGATGGGGTGGCCTTCATCTCCCAAGTTTCCCTTGGTCTATCCCCATACTCCTCTGGCTGTTTCTCTTCCTTTGAGCACCTCACCCTCTACCACCCCTCCTCTCTCTCCTCAAAATCCTCCTAGTTTACCACCCCACCAAACTTCCTGGCTCCTCCCTCACTGATATCTCCTCTCTCCTCTCACCCATGTCCCTATACACTGAACACCTGCTCATAATGGTGATTTCAACCTCCACCTGAACTCCCCTTGCACCACCCCCTCGGATTTCACTTTCCTCCTCTCCTCCCTAAACCTCACCCTCCACATTAACTCGCTGACCCACAACCGTGGCCACTCCCTCAACCTCATTATCGCACATGGCCTTGACATTTCCGATCTGTCTATTACGGAGAAGGCCATCTGGGACCACTCCCTCATCTCCCTCTCCTCCCACATCCCACTCCCCTCTTCCAATCCCTCCACTATTTTTTTCTGCCCCTGGGAAAAGCATCCCTCTGGATCCCTCACAAATCCCCTCCATTCCTTGGATCTCCTCTCTCTCTGGCACTCCACCCGCAGCGATCCTGATGCAGCCATTAAACTGCTGAATGACCGTCTCTCCATAACCTTCAATTCCCTGGCTCCCCTGAAATCCAGGTTGTTACCAAAACTCACCCAGTTCCCCCATAGGAGCCAAGGAGTATGGCTCCATTCTTGGCCCTCTTCTTTTTATTATCAATATGCTGCCTCTGGGTGATGTCATCCGCAGACACAGGGTAAACTTTCACATGTATGCAGATGATCCACACACAAATCTACTTTGCCTTCTCCAGTACCAACTCCAGGTCTACCAATATTCTATCAGCTTGTCTGGCAGACATCAAGGCCTGGATGAGTGTAAACTTCCTGCAGCTGAATAAGGACAAAACGGAAGCCATACTCCTTGGCTCCCATCAACATCTTCACTCCTGTAGATCTAAACTCCTCAACCTCCTGGGCTCTCCCTCAGACTCACCGAACCAGTGCGCAATCTAGGCGTCCGGTTCGACCCCCAGTTGCCTTCCTCCCCCACATCTGGTCCCTAACCAGGACCGTCTTCTTCCATCTCCGCCACATTGCTTGCCTCTGACTGTACCTTCCCGCAAATGCAGCTGAAACCCTCGTGCATGTGTTTGTCACCTCCCGCTTGGATTACTCCAACGCACTCCTCGACTGTTTCCCCAGATCCACTACTCAAAAGATCCAGTTTATACAGAACTCTGCCTCCCCCATACTAACCTGGACCAAATACCGTACCCACATCTCACCAGTTCTGGCCCCGGCCCCACTGGCTTCCCATCACCGAACGGATCGACTTCAAGATCCTCACACTCATGTACAAATTCATTCAGTCCCTGGCACTGCCCTACCTCTCTGACCTTCTCACTCCACAATCCACCACCACTCGACTGGCACCAGCCTCCTGCTCGTTCCTCGCACGCTCTGCCCAACCATCAGATGTTGCTTTCAGACACTACACCCCGAAACTATGTAACACTCTTCCTCAATCCCTCTGCCTTGTCCTTTCTTTCCCCTTTCTGAAGTCCCACATGAAAACCTTCCTCTTTGACCATACTTATGGCCACCTACCCCAGCTCAGAGTCAGGCTCCGCCACGGTTAAGCACTCTGAGACACTACCCAGTGTGAAGGGCGCTATATAAGTGCAAGTTGTTGTTGTTGTTGTTGTCCTCGCTAATCTCCACTGGGTCTATATCACACACACTAAACTCCATACTCCTAGCCAGGCTCACCGAACGGATTGATTTCAAGATCCTCACTCACCAAATCCCTTCATCCCCTGGCATCTCCCTACCTCTCTAACCTGTTTGCTTCCCAACCCACTACCACTGTCTCCGCTAGAACGGCTACAACTTCCTACTTGTTCCTCATGCCATCTGCTCCATCATTGCTGGCCGCGTTTTCAACCTCTACCCCCTGAAAATCTGGAACTCTCTTCCTTTATCCCTCCGCCTTGTCCTCTTCCTTCCCCATCTTCAGGTCATGCCTGAAGAGCTTCCTCTTAACCGTACCTATGGTCACCTCTCCCCTCCCCCCAGCTCGGGACTTTGGGATGCTACCCTGCGTGAGGGGCACTCTGTCCAAGTTGTTCGGAGGGATGAAGAACACACAATAAGCCAGAGTTGAAGGAAGCAAGGTCTTGAGCTGGGCTATATAAATGAACATTATGGATGGAGGTTTCAGAAGGACGTAGGCACGATACGTACTCTTTTTTTCTGTAACAACAAATTTGCCAAAGAATTCGGCGATTATATCTGCTTTGCAATCTGAGGTTGTGAACACAAACAATTCCTGACACTTCTGCAGAGTGGGCTGCTCCCGTCGTAATCGTTGCTTAATCCGATCTGTTTCACCAGTCACATCATCCACCACGACAATCACATTGCCTTCACCTGGAAAGGGAGCCAGAAACCAGATAATATATAGCATAATATAACAACCAATTAATTACATTGTCTTTACCTGCAATGGGATCCAGAAACGAGATAATAATAATATAATAATATAATAAGATTCTGACCAACCAACTGAATGACTTATTGATTAATGTACAATATTCTGCAAAATATATTATAATTATTGTTATTATTATAGGGTTATCATTGTAGGGTATTGTAGCAATAGGTAAACCTCATGGCTAGGTGTGTGAGCTTGTTTCAGTGTGTATGTGTGTATATATGCGTGTGAGTGTGTTTCTGTGTGTAATTCCGTGTCCCATCTTGCTGTAAGCAAATAACTTTCACTTTTCCCGACCAATTGACAGTCACTACATTTGACAGATCTCTATGAAGCAAATTGAGATGTTTCAATGTTACATTTGCTGCATTAAATGCATTAAATTAAATCTCTACATTTAGTGTAATTCCTTTCACGTTGGGAGGCCATCCTGAAGATCTTTGTAGGATGTACTGTAAAGTGTAGTGACTGTGTGCTTGTAGGCAATCACTGCAGCCCATTTACACACAGCAACATCCCACAAATAGATATGAAGTAAGCGACCAATTTTATCTGGAGGATCGTTGGCCGGGACAACGGGAAAGAGAAACTCTCTTCTGTTTTCAAATAGCACCGCGGGATGTTTAACGCCCCCCATTACACCAGTCCTCGCCAAGCTCCACTGGCTCCCTATCAAGGGAATGTGGGATGGAGTTCCAGAGGGTGAGGGGCAGACGTTGCGGTGGTGGGAGGGGGAAGTGAGATTTCAAAATCTCATCAGAAGAACGATGACTCCGACAATATGGCGCTCTCCCACCCCCCCCCCCCCCAGCCCTGCGCTGGAGCATCAGCTTCAACTATGTGATTCCAAGTCCTGAACCCACAGGCTTGTGACTCAGAGGCAAGAGTGCTCCAGTAACAACTGAGCCGGGCTGACACACAAATACAGATTTTTTTAAAAATTGATAATTCATCCCCCCCACACTCTCCCCCCCAGTTTGAAAATGTTGAGTGTGACTCACCCACTTTGCGAAACATCTCCTTGAGGTATAATGAGTAAAGGGAGTCTCGTCCATCACACAGGTTCAGGCGGCCCATGAGTTTAGTGTGATACAGAATCTCCACGTCCTGGTCTTGTCTCTGTGCATTAAAACGCCAATAGGTGCTCAGTGGGAGCTGCGTCCGTGTGACATATTCCTCACCATACTGCCTTGCCAATACCTCACTGAGCCACTGATGCTGGGAGGATTGGGTCAGAGAGCTGATATTCACTCTCCGAGGCTTGCCCGGGTTTGCCATTAGCTCTGTACGAGTTTCAGGCTCTGACACACACATACCGGTTGCTGCTGTAACTAACGTCTTGTTGTCAATCGCAGCCTTTCCGATATAAACTCCTCCCTGCCTCACTCCGCCTGAGGGTTTAACCCTGTGTTCATCAGTAAACTCAAATCTCTCTGGCCAGCAGAGGGTGAAAGTTATTGGAAAGTTAATTCACAGTGAAAGAAAGTGGAGAAATCTACACAAACTCAGTGTACCATTTGTAATAATAATAAAAAATAATAAAAATCATCCTTGCATTTGATATAGCATCTTAATCACACTTTTGAGAAGTCTCAAAGCGCTTCACAGGCTATTCTGTCAAGTGAATTGATTGTGTATTTTGTGGGGGAAACGCGACAGCCAATTGCGCACAACAGCGTCTCTCAAACAGTTGTGGATTGATTGATCACATTATTTTATTTTTCTGGAGGGTTTATCACCCCCGAAACTGAGCTGCCAATCGACTAACAAGCGGGTTCCTACTTACTTGGCAGGTAAACAGGCCTGTGGAGTAAGGAAATTTACCTAAGGTTTCACACCACCCAGGAATAATAATAATTTGTGTGCTTGACATGGCAGTTTATCAGGTCACTAAGACATTTCAAAGTCCTTCGCAGGTTTCATTGTAAAGTGTAGTGACTGTGTGTTTTGCGGCACAACACAGCAGCCTCTTTACGCACTGCAACTTCCCTGCAAACTGCCATGAGTGATTTAATCTGGAGGATTGTTGGCCTGTGACCACACATTGGCTGGACCAGGCTGACACACAGCAACTGAGCCAGGCTGACACAGTGACTGAGCCAGGCTGACACACAGAGACTGAGCCAGAATGACACACAGCAACTGAGCCAGAATGACACACAGCAACTGAGCCAGGCTGACACACAGCGACTGAGCCAGAATGACACACAGCGACTGAGCCAGGCTGACACACAGCGACTGAGCCAGGCTGACACACAGCGACTGAGCCAGGCTGACATACAGTGACTGAGTAAAACGCTGATAGGTTTTAGGTGGGAGCATCGCCTGTGTGACACATTTGACAATGCCAATTCCAATGCCTCGCAGAGCCACTGATACTGGGAGGATTGGGCCAAAGAGCTGATATTCACTCTCAGGTGGTTGCCGGTATCCAACAAGTCACTCTTGACAGATGTGACTTTGCTGCCCCTGATAGTTGAATCTTGCTGCCGATACAACACAAGATGGAAGCACAGCCTCCGCCCTCCACTCTTACACTGTTCTTTATCGTAGTGAATTCTTTTGAACTCTTTCTTGTCCTGGCTTCTCTCTTTCGCTTCACAATCGGTTGGTAATAATAACGATTATCCTTTTATTTGATATAGCGCTTTATCACGTTGTTGAGATGCCTCAAGGTGTTTCACACATACAATACCAAATTACACTTGTAAAGACACCTTTCACATCAGGAGGATGTCCCAAGGCGCTGAACAGTCAGGGATTAGGACCTGAGTCAGCTGGGATGGGGGTGTTGGGATGAGGGAGAGAGCAGGGAGGAGATGGTAGGGGAGTGGCCGAGGGCAAAAAGCGGGTTCTGAAGCACGCCTTCAAGGAGGCAAAGGAGTGAGCGAGGCGAAGGGAATGTGGGATGGTGTTCCAGAGGGTGGGAGCAGAGAGGCTAAAGGTCCAACCACCAATGGCGGGCCAGCAAGGGGACATGGAGCAGGCCGGAGTCTGCCGAGTGGAGGGAGCAGACGGGTTGATAAGAGGTTAGAAGCTTGGAGAGTTAGGAGGCCATCGGGTGAGGAAGCCAGAGGGTGGCCATCTTCATACTAACAAAAATATTAATCTTTGTATTTGATATAGTGCCTCAGTACGTCTCTGAAACATCTCAAAGTGCTTCACTGTAAGGTGTAATGACTGTGTGTTTTTGTGGGCAAAACACGGCAGCCAATTGTGCAGAGTAACGTCCCACAAACAGTCGTGAAGTGAGTGATCAAATTTAAAAAATATATTCTTCAGGGATTATTATCCCCAGAAGCGATCTGCCAATTGACTAACAAAGTAAACAGCGGTGTGTGCAGTAAGGAAACTTGACTAAGGTTTCACTGCACCCGTGAATCGAACCTAGGTCCTCTCGCTGGGGAGGCGAGCTTGCTAACCACAACGCAACAGGACTCCACATCTTTGAAGATGGCATAGACAGGGTGGATGGACAGAATGGCCTGTTTCTGTGCTGCACAGTGGGTGTACAGTAGAAACCCGGTTTGGGGACACCTCGGTAATCCGGCCACCTCAATTACGGGCACATTTTCACAATCTCTTTCATTGTCAATGTTAAAAGATATGCTGCCTGCTTCAGTCAACCGGGCACCTCACTATTCAGGATAACAGTCATTCATTGTAGCCGCTGCAGCACCCTCCTCCAGTGCAAACGCGGTACAAACACCCTCCTCCGCTACTAACCTGTACAGTACACAGTGCGCTAGGCCTTGGGCCTCTCGCGTTGTTTCCTTGACGCTGCAGTGGGCAGAGTGAGCTTTGGTCGCGTACGCGCGGCCTAACCTGAGATCCTGCGGCCAATTCTTGGTAAGTACTGTAAACATGTCACTACGGAAGGAATTGTCCTTACGTGAGCGAGTGGACTTAATCAAAAACAGTGAGGGCAAAAGTCACAGACAGTTAGCTGTGATCTATGGCATAAGTTGGATACATTCTCAAAAGGTAGGCTGAATACATGACAACTTTTGTTTCAAATGTGACGATGCCTTTATTTTAATGAGATTGCAAAGTATGGTTGTTGAATGTTCAGCATCCTTACCCATTACCAGTGCCCTTAACATTACATCAGTGACTTGAATCACCCGACCTGTTTCAGTAATCAGGTCACCTTACTAAGTAGGTCACTTTTGCACAGTCCCTTGAGTGAGCAGATTGGTGAGGTTCTACTGTAAATGTGTGTGTCAAACAGAATGTTCCAGCACCGAAACCGGGTGTTCAGCCAAACCAGGCTTCCGCTGTTTTTCTACGTGTGTAGCTCCAAATCCAATCCACCTAGGATTCTGGTCCTGCAAGTCATGTCACTTATAAATAAAATAGCATAACCTCTCGAAGCAAAACTGTATATAATTTTTAGCATTAGTTTTACAGGCTGTATCCAGGAATCTTTATTTAATCACCAAAAATATCTTCTGAATTCCCAACTGTTCCTGAACAACGACACAATGGAGGGATGACTGGTCAAAACAGTTTGATGCCACAGCAACAATTTACATTTGCGCAGCGCACCTCATGCAGGGCAGCGTCCCAGAGTGCTTGACAGTAGCAGAGCACGACACCGAGCCAGAGGCAGATGACCATAAGCACAGTCGAAGGCGAAAGTCACAGCAGGGATCTGAAGATGGGGCAGGAAAGGACAAGGCGGAGGGATTGAGGCAGAGAGTTCCAAAGCTTTTGGGTGTAGTGGCTGAAAGATATGGTGATGGTGGAGCAGAGGGCACGAGGGACAAGCAGGAGGCTAGAGCCAGCTAAGCAGAGGCAGCAGGTAGTGGGTTGAGGGGTAAGAAGGTTGGAGAGGTAGGGAAGTGCCAGGGCATGAAGAGATTTGAAGATGAGTGTTAGGAACTTGAAACGGACTTGTCCAGTGATTTCGAGCCAGTGGCGCCTGGCGAGGACTGGGGCGATGGGGGTACAGAGTTTAGTTTGTGTACAAGGAGTGATTAGGTAAACTGGGCATATTCACGCTGAAAACGAGAGATTGAGGGGCAACATGATGATGGTCTTTAAGATTCTGAAGGGAGTCGGCGCAAGAAGAAGTTTTGATTCTTTCAAAAACAAATGAGGTAGATTTCTGTTGGGAAATAATATCTCAGGAATCAATATATGGTTTGGGACACGACATGTGCAAATGATTGCCAGGATAGTGGATGGCGAACTGGATAGACCTTGGTCTTCTTTTGTCAAGCAAATTCTTCTGTTCTTCTGTTCAGCATAACCACCTTTGTAGGCTGGTGATACACACGTGCGTGTAAAAGGCACATCTGTCACCACAATCAACACATGGGCAAGGACAAAGACTGCACCTGCCGACTGAGACCAGAATTACTGTCAGAAATTGTTAAGTTGAGATATGACATCCATTCATTGTGCAGACGAACAGATTAATATTGAGGATTTAATTCCAGACCAGAGTAAATCATCTCTCTATCTCACTTTCCATCCACCTCCCCCCATTGTGTTTATACTGGTGCTCTCTCCCCCCACACTGGAGCTCTCTACTCTAATCCCATTCCTCTGCTCACTCTCTCTCCCCCCATTGCGTCTATAATGGTTCTCACTCCCCCCACACTGAAGCTCTTTACTCTAACCTTGATCCCCTGCTCTCTCTGTTTCTCCCCATTGTGTCTATCCTGGTTATCGCTGCCTTCATACTGCCCCTTTCCCATGTGGTGAGATATATTGGTTGGAGGCTTACATTGTGTGCGTTGGACCGGTGTGACTGTATTAAAGTAGTTCACGATCTCCTGACTGATCCCGTGATCAGCGAGGTTTTCCTTTGAAAACACAAATAATTTCCCACATTCTCTCAGTGTCAGCTGTTTCTCACACAACTGTGTTCGTTTCACATCAGGGTCTCCGTCAACATCATCCACGACAACCACAATGTTCTCTCGTCCTGTGGATGTCAAACATTGTTATTCTCTACTCTAACCCCATTCCCCTGCTCTCTCTCTACCTCATTGTGCCCATCCTGGTGCTCGCTCCCCACACACTGGAGCTCTCTACTCTAACCCCATTACCCTGCTCTCTCTCTCTGTGCCCCCATCGTGACTATAGTGGTGCTCACTCCGTCCACACTGGAGCCCTTTACTCTAACACCATTCTCCTGCTCTTTCACTCTCCACATCTTCATCGATACATCCTTGTCCTCATCCTCACTTTCAAGGCCCTCCAAGGCCTTGCCCTCTCCTACCTCTCTGACCTGCTGACCCCCTATCAACCTGTCTGCTCCCTCCATTCAGCGGGCTCCAGCCTGCTCCACGGCTCCTGCCTGACCCACCCTGCCATTGGCGGCCGGGCTTTCAGCCTCTCTGTCCCTACTTTTTGGAACTCCATCCCACTACCCCTCACTTCCTCCCTTGCCTCCTTCAAGGCACAATTCAAGACCCTCCTTTTTGACCGTGCCTTCACCTGTCCTCCTACCTCTCTGTTGTCCCTCATCCCAATCCTGCCACCCCTACCCTCGGGTCCTGATCCCCGATTGTTCAGCACCTTGGGACGTCCTCCCAACATGAAAGGTGCTTTACAAATGTAATTTTATTGTTGCTGTTGATATGTCAGTCTTAAATGTGCCTTTCAAGAACACCCTCTATGCCAGTCTCTAGTCCGGTTTCTGTGCCAGACAGGTCCGCAGTATTCCAGCCCTGCTGATGAAAGCACAGCCCAGCCTGGCTCATCGTCAGGACCTGGAAGGGCAGGCCAGCCACTGGGGACAGGGAATTCTTCTACTCAGTTCCTGTTAAACTTGCAAACCAAACCCTTAACTGCCCTAGCTGGACAAGCAGTGGGAAGCCTATTAAACGTCTTCTGACAACCCACATATACCACATGCACAGATTCCCTTCCTCTATTTTATGGGTCTCTAACCCGTGGCTCACAACGAGCGATGGGAATGATTGACAAACAAACAAACAAATAAACAAATAAATAAATAAATAAATAAATAAATAAATAAAAATGCACACACACACATCCATATATACACACATGCACACATACACACACACACACACACACATAGGCACATACATACACACACACACATATACACACACACACACATACATACATACATACTCAATCCACGACTGTTTATGGGACACTGCTGTATGTAAATGCCTGTCAAGTTTCGACCACAAAATATACAGCCACGACACTTTACAGTGTAACCTGTGAAGCGCTTTGAGACGTCTTGAAGATATGAGGCGCTATATCAAATGCAATAATTATTATTATTATGAACTCACCCAGAGTCAGGAACATGGCTCGGAGATACTGAGTATAGACAGAGTCCCTCCCATCACACAGGTTCAGACGCCCCATCTGTTGCGTGTGGTACAGAACCTCCAAGTCCTGCTCCAGGTTTGGAGGGAAATATTGCTGATAGACGTCTACAGGCAGCAGTGTCTCCCTGAGAGCAACGTCTCTATTTGCCTTTTGGACAGTCTCCAGGAACTGGTGGTATTGGGATCCTCGGGACAGAAAGGATATGTTCACCCTGAGGGTGGTCTGTGTCCCTGCGCCTGAACGAGGCTGAATCTCAATAGGGCTGTTTTCCTGCATGATTTTACAAAAGTTAAGTTGCTCAGTTGACGAACACAATGTGACAGAGATGTTTATTCTCTGTGTATTTCTGGTCATGGTGACAGGTTCAGCCTCTCTACAGCCATTGGCTCAGACACGTTTAACCCCAAATTAACTTTTTGTTATAATGACAAAAACACCCAGTCAGCGCCTTTCCCATCGGGAGGACGTCCCAAAGCACCACACAGGGAGGGGAGCTGGGGGTGTGTGACAGTCTGGCTCAGTCAATCCACAACTGTCTGTAGGACACTACTGTGCACAATTGGCTGCCGCGTTTCACCCACAAAATACACAATCAATTCACTTGACAGTATATCCTGTGAAGCGCTTTGAAACGTCTCAAAGACGTGATAAGGTGCTATGTCAAATGCAAGGATTATGTTTTTTTTATTATTACAAATGGTACACTGAGTTTGTATACATTTCTCCACTTTCTTTCACTGTGAATTAACTTTCCAATAACTTTCACCCTCTGCTGGCCAGAGACAGATTGTGTTTGAGTTTACTGATGAACACAGGGTTAAACCCTCAGGCGGAGTGAGACAGGAAGGAGTTTATATCGGAAAGGCTGCAACTGACAACAAGACGTTAGTTACAACAGCAACCAGTGTGTGTGTGTCAGAGCCTGAAACTCGTACAGAGCTAATGGCAAACCCGGGCAAGCCTCGGAGAGTGAATATCAGCTCTCTGGCCCAATCCTCCCAGCATCAGTGGCTCAGTGAGGTATTGGCAAGGAGGTATGGTGAGGAATATGTCACACGGACGCAGCTCCCACTGAGCACCTATTGGCGTTTTAATGCACAGAGACAAGACCAGGACGTGGAGATTCTGTATCACACTAAACTCATGGGCCGCCTGAACCTGTGTGATGGACGAGACTCCCTTTACTCATTGTACCTCAAGGAGATGTTTCGCATAGTGGGTGAGTCACACTCAACATTTTCAAACTGGGGGGGAGAGTGTGGGGGGGATGAATTATCAATTTTTAAAAAAATTGTGTGTCAGCCCGGCTCAGTTGTTACTGGGGCACTCTTGCCTCTGAGTCACAAGCCTGTGGGTTCAGGACTTGGAATCACATAGTTGAAGCTGATGCTCCAGCGCAGGGCTGGGGGGGGGGGGGGGGGGTGGGAGAGCGCCATATTGTCGGAGTCATCGTTCTTCTGATGAGATTTTGAAATCTCACTTCCCCCTCCCACCACCGCAACGTCTGCCCCTCACCCTCTGGAACTCCATCCCACATTCCCTTGATAGGGAGCCAGTGGAGCTTGGCGAGGACTGGTGTAATGGGGGGCGTTAAACATCCCGCGGTGCTATTTGAAAACAGAAGAGAGTTTCTCTTTCCCGTTGTCCCGGCCAACGATCCTCCAGATAAAATTGGTCGCTTACTTCATATCTATTTGTGGGATGTTGCTGTGTGTAAATGGGCTGCAGTGATTGCCTACAAGCACACAGTCACTACACTTTACAGTACATCCTACAATTATCTTCAGGATGGCCTCCCAACGTGAAAGGAATTGCAGTAAATGTAAAGATTTAATTTAATGCATTTAATGCAGCAAGTGTAACATTGAAACATCTCAATTTCCTTCATAGGGATCTGTCAAATGTAGTAACTGTCAATTGGTCGGGAAAAGTGAAAGTTATTTGCTTACAGCAAGATGGGACACGGAATTACACACAGAAACACACTCACACGCATATATACACACTGAAACAAGCTCACACACCTCGCCATGAGGTTTACCTATTGCTGCAATACCTTACAATGATAACCCTACAGTAATTATAATATATATTTTGCAGAATATTGTACATTAATCAAAAAGTCATTCAGTTGGTTAGTCAGAATATTATGATATTATATTATTATTATCTGGTCTCTGGCTAACCATTGCAGGTAAAGAGAATGTAATTGGTGATTGTATTATATGTTATCTGGCTTCTCGCTCCCTTTCCAGGTAAACACCATGTGATTGTTGTGGTGGATGATGTGAGTGCTGACACCACTGGGACTAAGCAACAGTTACTACAGCACCAGTCCACTCTGAGCAATTGTAGGGAATTGTTTGTGTTCAGAGCCTCAGATTGCAAAGCACATATAATTCTCGAATTCTTTCGCAAACTTGATGCTGCAGAAGGAAAGAGTAAGTATTGTGCCTTCTTCCTCCTCAAGGAAGTTGGGGGGTGGGGGAGGAGGTGGGTTTGTCAATTTATAAAAAAATCTGTATTTGTGTGTCTGCCTGGCTCAGTTGTTACTGGAGCACACAATCACACCTCTTGTAATTAATAAGGTAGGAACACTCTTGTTAGTTGATTGGAAGATCACTTTTCTGGTGTAATAATTCCTTTTTAAAAAAAGTAAAAAAGACACTCAATCTACAACTGTTTATGGGACACAATATAGTCAATTCACACACAAACACACACTCACATCCAGCCATGAGGTTTACAAGTAATTAGACCGTATAATAATGAGTCAGTCAGTTGATTAGTCATATTATAGTTGGGTTATTGGAGTGTTGGATTATTAGAATATCAAAATATTAGAATATCTCAATATCAGATTATTAGTTTATTAGATTATTAAAATGTTAGAATATTAGAATATTAGAATATCAAAATATCAGAATATCAGAATATCAGAATATCAGAATATCAGAATATTAGAATATCAGAATATTAGAATATCAGAATATTAGAATATCAGAATATTAGAATATCAGAATATTAGAATATCAGAATATTAGAATATCAGAATATTATCTGGTTTCAGGGGCAGACGATGTGCTAAGCACAAGCCCTCCCGTCATTCAACTCTGGTTTATTGCTCGTTCCTCATCCCTCCCAATCACAACCATCTCCACACATCCCTGCTCTCTAGAATTCTCTCCCCAAACACTTGAGGTTTTTATGATAGTCATTCTGTGGAAAGAGATCGACCAGGGGAGAGAGAGGGTGGGGTGGGTGAGGCTAAGAGAGATAGATGGGGAGAGAGAGGAGTGGATAAGGGAGACGAAGAGAGTGCTAGAAGGGGAAGAGATAGAAAGAGGGAGAGACTGAGTGAGGCACCCTGAATGTTTGTGCCAGTAAATGGTACATATATCGTAGCATGCTAAATGTGACCAGAGTTTTTAATGTTTCCTTTGCTTTAGGTTTCTGGGGATCTGTAGATGCCAGAATTTGTTCAAATATTTTATTGAATATTCTTTCTCTAAAACAAGCTGCCATTGATTGGTGTTGGGATCAGTTTTATCTCTTGTGTAAATTAATTATTGGAGGAAGAGTGACATTCTGATGGGAAGCTTATCACATCATTAAGAAACCTCAAAGCTCTTCAGCTTATACTGTAAATAATAAAAATAATAATTTTTTGGGTGGGATTATTACTCCCGGAAAGCAATCCGCCAATCAACTGACAACCGGGTTCCTACTATCAAAAGCGAGGATCATTATTATATAAATTCCCAGCCATTTTTCAGCCAAATACAGAGAGGGACAGTCTGTGTCACTGACCAACCCCTCACCCTCTCACACACACACAAACACACACACATATACAGATACTGTGTCACTGACACACAACGCAGTAAGACAGTCTCTGTCATTGACACACACACCCAGAGTGGGGGGAGAAGGGTGGGGAGGTGAGAGTAATGGCAGCTACAATTGACCTCAGTGTCCCTGGGCTGGGAAAGGAATCAATAGAGTTAGTTCGCTCTCCTGATCACTGTTTATCTCCTGGTTTTAGCAGGGAATATGCAGAATGTTCACAGACACAAGGGCACACCTGCTTTCTCAGTGAGCTCCCCCAACATCGCCCCACAATCCACATCCACCAAGTCCCCAAGTGACATGTGGGCTGGAGCATCTGCTTCCCAACTCCGTCCACCGGAGAATGAGAATAAGGAGCGACCATTGGCAGCAACGCAGTATTTCCTGGATCCAAATAACCCTGATATCCTGAAGATTTTACAACGCATTGCAGATCAAGTGAAAAGAATCGCCGACATTGGAGAAAACAGGCGCAGGCCCAGGCTTGAGGCGGGGTTTCAAAAATTCTGTAATTCGTCTCATCATCTCAGTAACCACTAACGGCTCATCATCTTCATTAAGAGTTTCTCTTCCAGTCCCCGCACCATCACATGTAGTGTCCCTCAGTGCTCTGGCCTTGGTCCCCTCCTTTTCAACATCTTCATGATCCCTCTGATATGATCCGTAGACATGGAGTTAACTTTCACATGTATGCGGATGACACCCAACTCTATCTCTCCACCCCCACCCTCGACTCCAGGACCACTGCTGTCCTCACAGACTGCCTGTCAGACATCAAGTCATGGATGAACTCTACACCTCATGGAGCCAATAAAGAACCTCAGTGTCCTGTTTGACCCTCAATTGTCCTTCATATCCCATGTCAGTGCCATGACCCACTCTGCCTCCTCCGCAACATTGCCCGGATCCATCACTGTCTCTCACTGCAGGCTGCCGAGAGCCTCGTCCACGCGATCATCACATCCAGGTTCGACAACTCAAACTCCCTGCTTGTCGGCCTCCCCAACTCCTCCCTCCACAGGCCGCAGATCATCTGGAACTCTGCAGCCTGTGTCCTCTCCCGCACCAGACTCCGTGACCACCACTACCACCACTATCCTCGCCCAACTCCACTGGCTTCCCGTCACACAAAGGATACAGTTTAAGATCCTGGTCCTCACCTTCAAAGCCCTCCATAGCTTTGCTGCCCCTTACCTCTGTGACCTCCTCACCCCCTATCAACCTGTTGTCTCCCTCTGCTCAGCGGGCTCCGGCCTGCTTCACCGTTGGCAGGCGGGCCTTCAGCCACTCCGCTCCCACCCTCTGGAATTCTATCCCACAGTCCCTCCGCTTCGCCCCTTCCCTTGCCTGCTTCAACACCCGCCTAAAGACCCTCCTCTTCGACCATGCCTTCGATCTCCCAACTACTTCTACCCTCCCCGCCCTCCACACCTTTTGAACCCAACCACCACGGGTGCAGATTCCTGACTGCCCAGGGCCTTGTTATATCAAATGCAAGGATTGTTATTATGATTGACTGATTAACATGTGCTGAGCGTTCGAAATTGAGTGAAATAAGTGATGAGACACCGCCATTCAGTGGTCAACCAGGAGTATTACAGTCAGGCCACCAGGATCGGGCAGTCAGCGCCGCCCTGTGGACGAGAGAGTGTATAATAGCGCTGTTAACCTGCCTGGTCCCTTTGACAAACACAACACATGGCATGTTTGCACTGTCCAACTGCGTGTCCGCAGTGCTCCAGGGCACTGTCCACCAAGGACTGCACCATTTGTCTTTCGTCTCAGTGACTAAAGCAACTTCAGCAAACTCAGTCTCTTTCTCAGTCGCTCGCTCTCTGTCTCACTCTCTGTCTGGCAATCACACACTCTCCAATACTCTTCCCGAATTAGGTAAGCAGGATGAGTCTATCTCTTTCTCCACCTGTCTCTCAGTTTCTCTCTTTTTCTGTCTCTCTCTTTCTGGTAATTCATAGTAGGATGTGGTCTATCCTTTATAATTACAATCTCAGAACAATAGAAATTTACACACAGAAGAAGACCATTTTGCCCATCATGTCTGTGCCACTCCCTCAGAAGCAATCCTTTCAGTCCCACTTACCTGCCCTTTCCTCACATCCCTGTAGCTGACTCTGTTTAAGTTATCTGTCTGGTTCCCTCTTGAAGTCAATATGGATTTTACCTCAACCACCCCCCAACTACTTTGTGTGTGAAAATATTTATCCTAACCTCCCTGTAATCTCTCCTAACGTCTTACATTTTCTGCAGCTGGAGATTTGGGGAAGAGCTGGATTGAGAAGACTGAAAGACTGAGGAGGGTAGAACTGTTTATGTAAGATAGTGACTGTCTTTCCCTTTTCTGTATATCGTTGTGTTGTTCCAGACATTTGGAAAGTGTGGAAATATCTATTTCACAAGACCTGCTCATTCCAGTCTCTGTGCTTTCCGAGAATCTTGGAAAACTGGAAGAAAAGTCATTAAATTAATCAACAAATACATAACACTTGCAACATAAGCCCTTTATTTCCCATCACTCTTTGTCTCCTCCCTACCTCTCTAACCTCCTCACTCCCCAATCCACCACTCGCTCAATGGGAAGGGACCTAAGCTGTAGACAGTAAGATGGTGGCATTTCACCGGGAAGCTTGCAGGGGCTCAACCCCACGCTTGTCGGATGTCGAACGACCAATGCGTGACTGTCCTTCTAGTGGGGGTTGGGGTGGGGGTGGGTGGAGGTAAGCAGGGTCTCCTTGGAGCTAAACTGTCTCCAAGGTGACACGCTTTGCAATGGAATGTCACATTCGAGCTCTTTGTGGCGGTCTCTGGTCCGGATCCTGAGCCAACGCAGGTCCTCAGTATTCTAGACCACTGCTAATGACAGTCCTGACAGCCTGACTCATCAGCAGGACTTGGAATCTGCCAATTAGGGTAAGGTAATTGGGGGTCGGGGTAGGGGTCTGATAGGTTTAGGGTTTGGTTGTTTAAATTTCAGGGGTAGTGTTACCCGTGTCTTGTGTGCCCGGACATTCCACGTGCTTGAGCTTTGTCACATTTTACCGGAGTAATTGCCTTACCTCAATCTTCTATATTGCAGGAATCTGCTTGTTTGATTTTTTTAGGGATAGGTTTTTAGTTGGGGTCAGCTGTTGGGGTTAATGGTTAGGGTTTATGTTAGGGTTGGGTTGAGGTTAGGGTTTGGATAGGTTTTTTAAGGGTTAGGTTTGGTTTTTTAAAGGTTAGGATTGGGGTTAAGATTAGGGTTAGGTTTTTTTAAGGGATATGGTTAGCATTATTTTCACAGGGCATATAAAGAGCTCTCATTGACGTTCATGTGCTTTGTATTTTAGATAATAATCCTTGCATTTGATATCATGCCCTTCACCTCAGAAGGACAAAACTGGCTCTTTAGATGTCACAAGAACACTTCACAGGATTTCAATTTTTAAAAAATAATCCTTGTATTTGTATTCTGAGACAAGATCAGGACTCACTCACTGTTTTTTTAAACAATCAAGAAACAGAAGTAGAAAATAGGGCATTGACGCCAAGAGTCAGATGTTTTAAATTGCCCCCAAATTTGCTTCTTTGGTTATTCGATGTTGATCAAATCTCTATTAAGCGCTCCGGGATGCTACCCCATGTGAAGTGCGCTCTCTAAATGCAAGTTGTTGTTGTTATCAAAGGTATTTGAAATTTACACATCTTCCCTGTTAATTCAATACGTTTATTTTGATTTGATATTTTGTGTATATACGTCCACAAAATATACAGTACATTCACTTTACAAAATAATCTGCGAAGCGCTTTGAGGTGTCTCAACAATGTAATATAGCACTCCATCAAATGCAAGGACTATTATTATTTTTTATTGTTATTTCCTACACACAGAAAGGAGGGAGACTGATGCCACCAATTGTAATGTGACCTGGCATAGAGATCTGTTGATAAAATAAAATCTGCTTTTCAACTACATTTGCATCACCGTCTGCCTCTCCCTTTTCTGACACATTAGCACGTTCCAGAGCAACACGTTTGGGGTGGGAAAAAATGTCCTATTATTTACGAGCAAAAACACATGGGTCTGTTTCTCATGACACGTGTTGAACACAGCTGGGACAATACTTGCGGGAATTTGGATGTCAATCACTTTTATTGCACTAACGCGGTGGGAGTGTGTGTTTTTTTTAATTGGTGTTGTTTGTGAATGTTTTTTTTACAAAAGTTGGTTTTGTTTTGTGCCCCAGTTTGTGAGTTGATGATTTCTTTGTGAATGGAAAGTGGTTTGCAAAATTTGACAAAATGTGTGTCAGTGTGTCACAGAAATAAACTCAAAGCGGCCACCACCCCTTTTCCACGCCATCTATCAATTTCCTTGTGAAGTTCATACATTTTAGTATCAAGAGGGGGAGGTGAGGTGTAGGTGGGGGGGGTGGGGGTTACAGACAAGGGTTGACAGCCCAACCTGCCCAACGGATGGTTGTAATGGGTTAAAAAAAGAGAGATTAGCACTGGCGGAAGATGGATGGATGGAGAGATTTCACAGAGTGTGCATTACACAAACTTTCGAGATCACCGAACCTTTGGAATCGCCCCCACCCCCAAACAATGAAACTAACTGAACTAACTATTTTTTTATTGCTTAAAATTTGAAGACACCCCTTACCAAGTGCTTTAAATCGACATGGTAAGTTGTACAGAAAATATATATTTGTTAAGAAAAGAAAAAATAGGATGACTCTAAGGTGATTTTAAGACGATTTGGGTGACTCAGAAGATATAGGTGACTCAGAGCAAATTGGCAGAAAAAATAAAAGCTTGAATACAAAAAAAACTCAAGACGAGAAAACGGGCATGAACTGAATCACATATTAACTTGACACAAATACCAAAGTGTCCAAAATAAGTATAAATTTATATAAATTATTCAACAATACACCACTAAACGTGCTGGATGGAGTAAAACCAGATTATGCGACTGAAATTTAAAAGAGTTTTTATTAAGACCATTTTTCTCTTAAAATTTGAGATTACACAGAATTGCGGAAACTTCTTAGATTCAATATTAATTTGCAAGTCTGTATTCCGCGGTTCTTTTATAAAGGTGTATAGAAAAAGTTCCAAATGAAAGCTGAATTGACTCAATTCTAGAATTCGACTCCATCTTAAATTTTGAGACAGAATTTACTCACACCGAATAAATCAAGGTGGAATTTCGGTCATTACTCTTCCCAAAATATTTCCTGTTGCGAAAATGCCAGGGATTTGGAGAATAAATGAGAATTGGGGGAATAGTCGACTCAGGGTGACCATGTAGATTTGAATAGACACTTTTTATTCTCAGATTCCAGGGATTAAACTCCTTTCTCACTTACTTACGACTTTAATTTCTGGGTTTTCTCAAAGGGGATTTTTTTCTTACACACACAAAAAAGTTATAACTATGGCGATTACATTGCGATTTTTTTTTGATCTGGATTAAAATTACAATGCAGATGGCTCTGGGTCAAAAGAGACGTCTGTCACAACGAATTGCAAGCACAACAACTCACTCACCCTCAAGCCTTTGGAATCCAACTTTTAAAGTATCTTCTCATTCACTTAGAGTTTATTTCTGTAAGATTTTTTTCCCCTCCCTCTACATTCTTGGCTTAGCTCTGTAGAATTCTTACTTAGCTCAGGGCACCACCTATACTCTTGCTTTCTCTCTCTCTTGGGATAGC